ACAAAATGAATCACACAATGTTCTAATGGGAAAGCGTGTATTGTGGGAAGAAATATACTTGTTCCAATAAATCCACAGCTTCTTCTGCTGCTGCTCTTTTCTGCAACTGCAACATTTAATCATCTAATTAAAACGTAAACTTAATCTGCTCCTGTCTCAGCCTGGGTAATAATAAATACTTTAGTTTGTGTGTGTGTGTGTGTTTTTTGTACACACACTCAGAACTGGTATCATGGGAAATGCAAATAATTCAAATGGAACAGCTTGTACTAATGAAAAGTACTGTAAGGACACAAGTTTTCCTGACCACGCACGTAAACACAAACAAATATAGATATTTGTCGGTAGTGTTCAAACTGTGACGGGTGAGCAGTAAGGTTACGCCACTTTTGTCACTTTCTGCAAAAATTGCACAAGGTGGAATGGCTGAACAAAACAAAGCTTGTTATGTTTTCTGTGCACACCAATCGTTGTGTTGCTATTGAATTACTACTAATGAGGAAGCACACAGTGGTGAATGCCCTGTTGTTACGTAAGAGATTAGACATGCTCCAACGCCACAATGAGGGCCACGGGGAGGCGTTGCTCTCAGGCAGTTTCTAATATATTTAACCGGATATTCAAATCCAGTAATAATGAGTTTTATAAAACCAAACCACTCTCAGTTTTTCTCAGTCACAGCTCTTGCTGAGGACTTTTTGTTCTGTCCAGTGCACTCCTTAAATTAATTTCAGTACAGTGGAATTTCAAAATAAGGGCCAGCAGAAAACACAGAATCACTGAAAATAACTTATCCTTTTGTACATCTTGTAAAAAATGTAATTGAATGTGTGTCATAATGATGACTGAGCATTACCACAATCCCAGCATGATTTCAAGAGGAAAGACTCTTCAGTGTGCATTTATTTAACTTTTATATTAAATAATTTCTACTTCCTTTCTAACCCCTGAGCAGGGCCATGCTCATTGTTTTACTGCAGAAAAGTGGATGACATAAGCATCATTTTTTGGCAATTGACCATGTTACATTAATTCTGGAGTGCAGCCAAAGGGGTGACTGTGATCTATTTCTCTGCTGTGTTTGCCGTATCCACGGTAGCTGCAGCGTGCAGGGGAAGCATGCTGCTGCCTCACTGCTGTCTGTTAGGGAAAGTAAGACCCTTCATTAACCAAGATTAGGCACATTAATTATTCCTATCATCAAACATTAGCATGTCCTTTCTCTCTTCGCATTAAAGACATTTAAAGCTGCTCTTTCTCAGCTATATCAGATGATAAAGCAGCGTTTCATTTGTCACCTGAAGGTCTTGGAACAACTTTTGTTGTGTTAGCAAGTTAATAATTCTCCATTGACTATTAACCAAAGAGAGGATGTTAACAAATATTGACCAGTGAGGAATATAGATGAGCCCCTGAGGTGAAAGTCAGCGACTGGATTACTGCGAGAGAACTAGGCTCTAATTGGTCTCGAGGGCTTTTGCAAGTCAACAGGAACACAGTCTTGAAAGTTCATTCGTCCAAACAGGCTAATTACTCCCTGGCTGTGTGCATCCTTCCATAAAGTGGTTTCTACAGAGGGGACTCTCTGTGCACTTAACCTCTCTGCACTTGATGAAAATGAGTGCACATTGCTCAACAATCATTTTCTGTATTTGTTTGTTTATCTCCGACATATGTACAGACAGACAGACCAAGCATCTGTTTCAGGATGACCGTGCGCAGACATCCACTCTGCTGACACTGATGGATTGAACATTTTCTCAGAATGGACACAGTTCAACCCCTTGCGTAATTTCACCTCATTTCAGGAGAGGAATGTGTGCCTCTACACCCTTCACCTCACCTCATCTGCAACTCAACACCGCCCGCTGACCCCTGGGATGCTTTATTTTCATTTATATTTTTAGATATCCCATTGGGCTTTGCTCTTTCCTGTGGGAATGAACACCTGCTGCACACATCCATCAGGCTGGACAAATCCACCATCACATGACAAAGACATGGACTAAAATGTTGACACACCATTAGCCGTTTATGGATTTTTATGTCAGTAGGTCACTTTAACACAACATCACAAGGTTAATCCCAGATTTACAACATGTCTGGTAGAACATTTGAGTATAAACTGCAAAAAAATCGAACTGAAGACAATATGTGTACTGAAAACCTTCGACAAAGCAATACCATGCCCGTCCATACTCACAGAAGTGCTCCTGGGATATTGGTTGGTCAACCTTTCAGGAGTGTGTGTCAGCAGCAGGCTGCAGACTCGGGGCTCGCTGCTGTGTGTGCAGATGGAAACCCCAGGGACTTTAGCTTTAAACATGACAGTGAATGCCACAGCAGCAGAGTCGATGTTAACTGCTGATAAAGAGGTGAAGGCCAGCTGCTCAAACACACTGAGGGTACAACACATCAGAGGTCATGTGAGTTACACTCTCAAATTTGATGACTCGAGACTCAACTTGACAAAATAAGAAAGATTTGCAACTCAACTTGGACTTAAGCATACATGACTGGTGACTTTACTGAAACTTGGGAGTCTCTGCTTGAAAATACTTGATACCTTCCCATAAGTGAAAAAAAAAAGTAAGAAAAGTATGCCATGAATCATTATTTTCCTGAATCAACTACCATTAATGCTTTTCATTCCCCAGTATATTGACACCTAATTACCCAAGTCCATTTAGTGTAAACTGATCTGATTAAATTGCAGATAAGAACCTTAAAAAAATTACTTTATGTGGCTGAGCAGCAGATGAATGATACCAAAGATAATTCTTTAAGCGTAGAAAAAACAGTGTGTCTCAACAGAAAATGTATTGCAGTATGCAAAACATGCAAGTGAAATAAATTACAGACAGAGATGCATTATTACATTATTATACATTTCAGGACTTTGGACTTACAACAAATTAGTTGAATTATGTAATTTTGTCAAATTTGCTCTACTTGCACCTGTTGAGCACATACATAAAAGTAACCCATTTTATCAGAGATCTTGTTTTACAAAAAACAAACCACTTATGTGTTTGTGTTGTTTCTCCCTCCTATTAAAGCACTTTTAAAGGATTGCCCTGGATTTTAGCTGACCAAGCCCCCACCATGCTATCACCTCACTGTCCCTGATGCTCTTATCCTCAGAGATTTAGGAGGACTAAGCATGTGGGGAGGCTCAAAGACTCCACAAGATTGCAGCTTCATCCTTTCAGTGTGGGACACTCACTCCACCCAGGCCACTGATTGTCCAGAGCCGTGGCCCTCACAGTTTAATATACTCTATGCTGTGCCATCACATGCCAAAGCAAACAGCTTGAGGGGAAACTGGTTACAGTCAAAGACTAATGATCGAATTGTCTGGCTCCCAAACACCCAGCCCTCCCTGATCTCACTGCCAATCATATTTCCATTGTTGCATTTTGATAATGGCCATAGTCAGAGTTCACAGAGAGGTCATGCCTGCCCTTGATAAACTCGGCTTGATACTTGCTGTAGTTCTTGGCACACTGTGGGATGTTGGGTAGTGAACTCACCGTCCTCCTGAAGAGAGGAATTCAAAAAGGGAACGGCACATTCCTAAGGGTCTCCTACGGAGGCGAGGAATGCTGATGCTGGACTAAAGTACGTCTGGAGGAAGTCTGAAAGCATTTACTAAATCATTTTAGAGAAAGAGAGGATGTTAAAAACGAAATACATCCTTGCTTCTCGCTGGTCAAACGCATTTCCATTTTCATTTAAGTAACTTGCAGGATGAAGCGTACTGTTTTGTTACAAATGGGTATTCATACTACAGCTGCTTTGTCAGGAAAAACTAATCAAACATTTATAAATCATATGCATCCACAAAGAAGAATGTAAAGAAAAACATATAAAAGAAAGAATAACCTAAAAAGAAAGTGATTTTGGTGTTGGACAGATTACACTTATCCCATTGATATTGAATTTAAGTCAATCTATGATAAGTATTCACAGGAGACGAATTTAAGTTACTGTTTATCTCCACAGAGTTTTGCTGGATTTGTATGCAGTGCAGTGCAGTGCAATGAGTCAAGTGGTAAGTCAATGTTTAAAATGGCAACTGTTTCAACTAAAGATAAGAAAAACACCTTAACAGATTGGAATGAAGGTGATTTAAAAAAGATTCACTGACCTGGTATAACAAACAGAATGAAATAATTGTTTTTAGGAGCCCTTCTTGCGCTTTGAAAACCTCTTCTTTAAAATGTCAAAGCACTTTTAATCACAGGTGAATGTGCTCTGTTCTGCCTTTAACCTTGGACTCAAATGGTCAGTGATTACACAGAGAGATTAAGATACTGCTAACGGAAAAGGGAAGTGGAGCTTTAAAATATTTGAACTTGTCCACTCAGGCTTTCTTCACATAATAAAATATCACGGTTTTTAAAGAAGCAGTCAAAAATATGATTAGGTATTGAAGACAGTAAAAAGACACATCAGAGTAACTGTATTTCTCACACTTACTTTCAGTCATACAGTACAGTACAATACAGTCAGTAAGTACATAGTTTATATAAGGACTCAGCAACTTGAAATTGAAAAACAAACTGAATCATTGTGAATTGTCAGAACAGCTCTTGTAAAACCTGTTGCTAACTTTCAGTCAGTCATGTTTGTTTGTTTAAGCCTGTAATGTCTACAATGAGTCCTTAAGTGTTGTCGTAATACCATACGCGCAGATTCTGGGCACAGCTCATCAAGCGTATGTGTCTCTCACATTAAAAGGTGAGAGAAACATTCTTCACGTCGTTGAAAATAATTTCATTTGTCAGGCGTGTAACCTTGGGACGTGTAACAGTCTCACATGTATCTCTGCTCTCTCACACCATGCCACAAGTAAAGGCTTAGCTTACAACTTTAACACACATCGTTCACTCAAGTGCTCCTTCAGTGTCGCTCACACACTCAATGTGAAATGATCACCTGGGGGCATGCTGTGGAGTAAGATACAGATGAAAAATAAAAAGAGAAAAAAGTTTGTTAGTTCTACACAATTTTATTGAGCAAAAAGCTATAATACTCTTATGCACATTGATATACAATAAACTACTCCAGTGGTGTCCCTGCCTACTGTACAGGATAATTCATTTGTTTTTTAAAACAAGTGCAACAGTTTACATCGCTGAAAAACCATAGGATGCTGCATACATGGTAGCATGGTAACCTGACAACAACATATCACCCCCCCCCTCCCGGACCTCTGTGAATCTCTGTGACCTCATTCTGCGTTCAAAGGTCGTCTGATTCAGGGATGAGCGCGGGGTCGAGGGGAACAGCGGGGAGGGGGAGTGGATCGCCTGTCGACACCCAGCCCAGAGCGGATCTGTTGAAGGAGGGTCGATCCACCCCTGCGTCGCCCTGCAGCTCAGGACACTCGGAGAGGGGCTCAACCTGCAGGGTATGGATGGGCACAGGTCGGGAAGCCTTGCCGAAGCCCCCGAATGGAGTGGCCACCCTGGAGGTGATGGAGTGACAGCGCTTTAATGAGAGGGACTGCAGTGACATCTGAAGTGATGCGACTAATTAAAGACAAACCAAGACTCTGACCAGAGGACTAAGAGAGCTGCTGTTGAGAGAGGAGCTCACTTTGATTCAAATAAGCAAGTGTGTTAGGTAATTTTTATCGTTTCACACATCACATATACATGTTTCTCTGTTCAGGAGGGGTAAATCAGTTAAATGTTTTAGGCCCCCTAAAAAACATGACTACTAAATAACCCAATGACTACTAAATATAAGCACAATTTGCAATTGCTTTACAACTCACTATGAGTAAGCTGATTTAAAACGACTCATATACTGCATTGATGTATAATTAGAATCTAGAATGATTAGTTCTTCATATTACCTCTTTTAACATCATCCCATAATCCCCAACGTTACATAGGCTCACTTGATATAACACATATGCATAATTCAGTTGACATGCATCTTGTAGACAGTAATATTATTGAATACTTGCTGTCCAGGTGTGAAGTTGTTACCTGTTGAAGCTCTTGAAGCCCGGCAGTTCAGGTCGTGGCTCGGGCTCCGATAACTGGAGGCTCATGGTTTGAGCCAGGGAGGGGTCACTGATGATGGCCTGCTGCCAGGGAGAGTGGTAGGACTTTGGTACAGATGTACTGTTGAACTTCTCTGGAGGGATGACTTTCAGAGGACCCCCGTAGCCTGCAGGGTGTACAGCAGAGACACAGGGTTAGTTAGGATATACATAAACAGAGCTAAAAGAAACATGCTGTCCCAAGACATTTGATCCTTCTCTTTGATTTCCTTTTGTGAGAAAAGCTCACAGAAACAAAAGAACAGGAGTGAATGCGTCTGCTGGTTTATAACCATATGATTTAAAAAGTTACTGAATGTAAAAAAATACTTCTTGTTACTACATACAGTAAATAAGTATTAAATGCAATTGAAGCATTGATAGCAAAAGTTATATCATTATAGTTTTGATTTGGTTGGCGATATCCTTCAGTTATGTTCTGTTTCTTTCCTTGATTTGATATTGCATAATATTCTAAACATAGTTGTTTAATAGTTAACTTTTGCACCACGTTGTACAATGTGCTTTGGCAAAAAAGTGAAGGAGAGACGGATGAGAGACATTTTCAGGGAAGAGCGGAATTTGGTAGAAAGTCGATTTTTGTATAATTTGCATTGAAATGTCTTAAAACATCAATGTGTGTTCATATTTAAATAACTAAATAAAATATGTTGTTGTTAACATGTAGGTCTATATAATAATAGAAGTGTCTTTTATTTTTTCCCCGTATATGCCTTGTTAAAGTTCACAGCAAAACAAATGAAGGGGCGTCCTCGCTGTAATTCAGTGTGTTTGTGTGTGTGTGTGTGTGTGTGTGTGCGTGTGTGTGTGTGTGTGTTGATGGGAAAGGCCTTTCCAAAGCACTATCCTTCAAACCCGGCTGCACTCAGGGGGGCTCTGCCTGCCGAGCCTTACATAACGTGGGGCGTCGTGTCACGTCCTAACCTCTCACAGAGAACAATCCCCCTTCCTGGGTTTATGTTCTGCCCGAGGAGGAAGCAGGAGAAACCAAACACACCCGCGGGGAGGTGTACGGAACTCGGGGAGAGGAATCTATTACAAAACATAAAAGATTTTCTGAGGCCATGGAATATTGTTCCTGTGGTTGTACATTTGGCTGGGTTGATATTTGTGTGGGAAAGGACTATCACACAGTCTGTGCTCTGTGTGCGGAGATAAAAGGCCTGAGAGAAACAGCACAGAGGCGTTCTGTGCAGAAATGTTCTTTACAGCTTTCGAAAACATTCAAATGTGGCAGAATATTTTATGACGGCCTCAAGCAGACACTTTCATATCTTTGTTTGGAGAATGGTACAAAACAACTCAAATGAGCATAAATCTATGTTACATATATTTGCTTATTCCTAAGTTTGACTTATCTCGATTTCATCTTGCACTGTTTTCTATTTATTTTCATGTTATAAGTATGTTGCACTGCAGAAGGAGTCTGTTCAGATTTTCATTGCCAAAGCTATTCTGCTCATGACAATAAAAGCGTTTGGATCCTTTTTTGAGGTTTTAGCAGCTATGCGTCCTATGGTTAATTATCATATAATGTTGTTTCAGCATCTTCTCTGCCAATTCTTGTCTAATTATAGCTATTATCTAAAATATATCACTGTAGCCTAGTAGAGACGTTTTGCAGTCGAGGCTTGGAAAATGCACCCCTGGCTGGATGCTATTTAAAAAGTTCCTACCATTCGATACCTAATGCTGTCTGGCCTGATGTCAGAGTGACTTCATTAAGATTGAAGGTTGGTGTCCGGTCCTGAGCTCCAGAAATAACAGCCCCCCCCCCCCCCCCCTCCCCTCGTTCAGCCCTTCACCTCCCTAAACCAGTATCGGTTTTGTGTCAACTGGGCAGAATTGAGCCACGAGGGAGGAAGTGAGTGCAAAGCTTGATGCTATAAGTGGCACGAGACGCAAACAGGAAACACTTCTCGTGGGTAAAACTATTTTTTGAGAGATGGTCAAATCAGATTGTAACGAGGAGGAGGAGAGAGAGAGGAATGTGGAAGAGTAGATCTGAAACAAAGGAAAGGGAGGAAGATAGAAAGGAGACAGGCGGGGAGAAAACCTGTAATCATGTTGTGCCTGCACCTGGCAGATTCCCGGCTTAAAGAAAATGTTTTTCTACATGATCAAAGCTGCGTGAGTACACACAATGAGAAACAGTTGAATCCTTATCAAACCCCACGGCACATCCAGTGCTTTGTGGAGAGCACACAGTCTCCTCCAGGAGCTTTTGTACTGTACATTCATTACAGTACATAAAACACTTGCCAAAGTATCCCAAACATCTTAATAAATCCCAAACTTTGCGTGATATAACAGAGGCTAAAGTAGATAAGATGCTCTGCTCAATGGAAAGGAGTTCCTGGTGTATATAGGGAGCAGGTATGACATCATGTGTGTATGCTGACCCGAAAGTTAACATCGGATGGGCTCCCTCGGGAAAAAGCAGATGGGATTCTTTCTATTGACTAATGTTAGGCTATAAAGAAACTACAGCACGACTTCACGTCACCACTGCTAAGCTAAAGGGGGCTTGACGACATTAAGTAGTCTCATTTAGACACAAGGTCACAATTACCGTTTTAACTTCACTCGTGGGGTATTTACTCATGGACATTCGAACAAACTTTGACTCCCACAAGAGGGAACAGGAAGAGCTAAAATGCTAACTATTTCTTGCACCACTCTATTGTTCAGAAACTAAAGGTCACTGAGCGGGTAGAGGTCAGCTGCAGCACCTGCTTCGGGTTTTGGTCATTGAGCGGTCCTATCAGTTCTTACCTGGGGCGATGCTTTCTGGATTTGGCTCCATGGTCGTGTCAGGCGTGTCGTTTGGCACAGCAAGCGACTGGTCCACTTCCATGTTGTTCTCGCCGTTTTGGCCATCTGTGGCACAGCCATTCTCAGTTTGCAAAACTATTGTGTTCTAAAAGAAAGGTAAGGCAAGTCGGTATAGAGGCAAAAATCATTGAGTGGAAAGAAAACATCCAAAATCCACACGGAGGAGTTTATTTTACGAACTTTATGTATTTGGGTCTGTAGATTTCTCCTTAATTTAACTAAAGTTAGCATTATATGATGCCACATTTATATAACAAATTGTATAAATATTTCAGAAATATTATAATCCTCTGAATGGAAGTAAATAACTTTTATTAAGTGTAATGTCCATATCCATTAGCTAACATGTTGAATATATTGACCTGTATGGTATGGAAATGTAGATGTTTAAATGTTCCTTTTGATTTAACATGCAAAAATGGATTCTATTTTTGAAAGATTATTTAATAGGATTGAAAGCTCAACAACAACAATTTAGTAGACCTTTTAGTGAGATTGTCTCATCAAAAAATGCTCATGGCACAGTGGATTATTGTTTGATGAACAGCAAAAATAATGAATTACATCTGAATGTCATATTTGGATCCATTGAATTAAAATGGAAAATATGATTTGCATGCTCAGTGACTATAGCTTTGCTAATTTTTAGGTTTTTGTATTCTTTACAATGCTGCTGCTGGATTTTTATGTTTTACAAATACAACAGAGACACTGTCTGTGTGCCCACTTTTCTCCGACATTACAAACATAGTTCTGCGGGCTGAGCAAAGCTTTCATCCGTCTGAAGGATATTTATGATTATTAACTTTCTCAGGATATGTTGACAACTTGAAACAAAATCCCTCCGAGCAATAAACAAACCAGAGATATGCGGTTATTCTCACTTCAAAGATGAGTCCAGAAACCTCCCCAGAGCATACTAATTATTTTATCTATGAACTTCATGAGAGCCCAGAAAAATACACAAAGCCACTACACAACTAAATGAAAGAGGATTTAACTAGTGTTGCTAACTCATTAGATACAATAATGAGAAACATAGTTCATTTATCTTGATTCAATTTGGTACAGAAATTGCTTTATGTGTGACCAGGTCAGAAAGCTAAGATAAGCTCTTCTGGGAAAGAAAACGCCGACTTGGCACCCTGCCCATCAATGCACTAAAGGGCATTAATAAGGTTTCTAATGACCATAATTCATAACTACTCTGTGCTGTGCCACTCCATGTGTGTACACGAGTCAAATAAACACTTCAAGTGCTCAATCTTTCCCACATATTCTATGTCCGGATGTAAGGTACAGTATTGTGTGAATGTTTTGAGTGATGGAGGGAAAAGATGTGGGAAAAAGGATAAATATTCTTGGAAAAAAAACATAGTGCTCTGATAGTGTTACAGTCAATGCTTTATCAAAGTATGTTTTTAAAATCCATAATAATGTACTTTTAATTTATGTGTATTAAAAAAACATACGGATTCTCATTATAAACATCTATAATCTTAATAGATTAGTTGTCTATACTTTAGATTAGATATACTCCATGATTTCAATTTGCAATTATTATTTTCAGTTTTTAGGATTGGGATTTCATTTTTTTTTTACAACTTTGATTATATAAAGCTTTATTCATTTTATTTTGGGATTTAGTTTTTGGGGGAACATTTTTATTGGAAAGCTATAGACAGAATAAATCCCATTGTTTCCCCATGCATATATGTTTTTGTATGTGTTCATCACATTGTCTTACATTGATCTGGATGTTGGTTTGGTTCTGGATGCTCTCGAAAGTGTATTTCTCCGAGCGTCTCTGGCGCATCTTGAAGAGGCGTGAGCCGCGGTTAGAGGCGAGGGACAGCTCCTCCAGCATGATGTCCTTCGGCATGTTCACTTTCCTCCCAAGATCCATCTCCACATCTGGACACACGCAGACAAACAGAGAGCTTGTGTGTACAATATAAACGTGTAAATTGATCTGATTTCTGACAAGACAAATGCATTTTCCTTTCTCCGATACTCCCACCTATCAAACCTCATTGAACACAAATGATATTCACACAGAAACAGCTCTGAACACTGCTGACTTGGTACTCCTGCCATTATGATGAATGAGCAATTATCTGCCCTCCTAATCCTCTCATGTCTGCTGCTTGTTTTGTGGTTAGCGTGCTAGCTACTGCATACTGATCATGGAGATGTCACAGACCTATATCCAAGAGTGAGGCGAATAATTAGCCAGAATATCTCTCAGCTGTCAGTAGCCTTCAGGCTCTGCCACACAGTTGTCCTCGCCCTGAAATAGCGTGTTCAAACGGACAACGACAAAGGGATTAGTTACTTTGGCCCATAAAAACATTCATTTGCTTATTTATAGTCATGTTCGTAGAAGGGAGGGTTGGCAGCTGCTGCATTGGCCAATGTAGGACTCTAACTTTCTATGAAGGCACGTGTGCAGCAACGGGAACATGTCTGAGAAGAATTAAATGTGAACTCTAAGTAATGGTGTTAAATCTACAAGGGATTAAAGGGAAATGTAGGATGGCAAGATGTGAGGAGGAAGAGAGAAGGTTGTCAAGTCATCTTTTGAGCTAATTCCTATCTGTTATTACACATATAGTAATTTATATTTAAACTTTATACAAATTTTGACATAGATTGTGCTTTTTCTGTTGAGAACATATATTATATTACATATCTTTATTATGATAGTGATGACACAATTTCTTGGTGAGATTGTTTTGACTAAGATTTGAGGACTCATCAAAAATGACTAATCTTTAGATAAATATGTTGGAAACAGAAGCCGACAACCTTCTCATCGAGGTTGGGTTGGTATTCAAGATATTTTAAATGCTACTCCTCAATTAGTAGCTTATTTCAGCTCCACTCAGAACATCAACATCTGCATAAAACACAGACTTTATAACTTTATACAGTTTATGCTCTAAACGCAGACGTAAACATCCCACTAAGGCAATCTAACTTTGCACAATCTTCCTTTTGTTATACAGCTATCACGCATTGGAATATGCTTCCGGCTAAGCATAAAACGTGCAAGAACTTAGCATAAAACAAACAAATATTGAGTCTTGTCAACAAGCATTTTAAATTGATCGTTGAAATCAAAGGTGGGGTAGGTAATTTTGGCGAAACCAGATCGAGTGCGCTAGAATTTGAAAATACACAACCGGAAAAAATCTGCCACTTCCTTACAGAGCCCCTCCTCCAACACACACGAACGTGCACATGACCAATGAGGGCACGAGATCAGTTTGTGCACAGATGGAAGGCTGACAGGCAGGTAGGCCATCCAGTTATTTTAGCCGGGCCGGCTAAAATGATTGGTCGTACCTTTTACAGTACTACGGCTTCTACAGATGACATTTTTTAATGGATTTTTTGTCAAAGCACTTAAGATATTCATTGCTATCGGGATGTTAAGAGCATTCCATGGAATATAACAAAAAGTGTATCTCGAGCCGGTTTCTCAAACTTACCTACCCCACCTTTAATTAAAATGTTATAGTTACTGATATGTGTGCAGGTATATAGATGTGTACTTTGATCTGATTTATAATTGTTAGTTTGATAGACACTTTGTAAGTGTTTGTTGATTGTTATGTGTGTACCTGCCCAGGGACTGTCGATGGAAATTAACTAGTTCTGGCATCACTTCTCCTTTTGAGATTATTGTGTTTATACTGTATGCATGGTCCTTGTTTAATAATGACATAATAATAAGCAAAGAAAGGATGCAACAGGAGGAGCTGAGAGGTCAGAGGGATCAGGAAACAAGGAAGTGAAGAGGAAACGATGGAGCTACCTTCCTCCATGGATTGAACCTCCCTGCAGATTGCTGCCGCCTGCATCTTCCTCTCGCTGGTCGTCATGGTAGAGAACTGAGACATGGCGGCCCCTGAGGGAGAGGAGGGTGAGGCCCACAGGAGACAAAGCCCATCAGTACAAGCTGTTCAAACACACAAAGAGACACAAAAGCAAGACACCAGGGCTGCATGTTGACCATCGATTGGACAACATTGAACATCCACACCACGCGCACATACCCAGAAGCAGATAGGATTTATTGGGGCAGTGAAAAGGGCAAAGTTAGCACATCCCTTTAAATAACCTTGGGTTGTTAAACGCCAAGCACATGCTCTTCAGACATGGCAACCAGCTGTGTCAGGGCTCTGGGAATCAATATGTTTGAAATTACACAAGTGGGCTGAAAGGACACAGACAGAGAACATGGAGTAGTCACAGCAAACACACACACACACACACACACACACACACACACACACACACACACACACACACACACACACACACACACACACACACACACACACACACACACACACACACACACACACACACACACACACACACACACACACACACACACACACACACACACACACACACACACACACACACACACACACACACACACACACACACACACACACACACGAAAGTTTACACCGAGGTGTCAAAGAACACAAAGGTCTCATGTTCACAACGTTCCTTAAAGGAACAAAAGAGCTTTTCATACCCGGGGTACATTCAACAAGCAAATCACTTCTGCATTAGGAAATCATTGGCTGAGCAGATAAAAGGCTAACATGTTACTTTTATCTTCAATAAAATCAGCATTTTCCACATAACAAATCCAAAGCAATACGAGACTAACATGCATTCATAAGAACATTTAAAGACTGTAGAAAAACTGACATGAGGCGAGCTGTGTGACTGACAAGAAAATGAATCATGTTTGAGAGTGAGACAGCACACCTGTGGGAGGGCTTACCTGTCCTGAGGACCCTCAGGGAGGAGTCTGGAACGGCGTCTGTCTCCACAGGTAGGAAGTCAGGAAGCTGAGAGGGTCACACTGGGTAGTGGACCCAAGTGGGTGCTGGTGCTCCCCAGCACTGGGCTTGTGTTGGGGAGGGGGGCTTGTGTTGGGGAGGGGGACTGGATGAGTGGGTGGGTGTCAGTCGGACTGTTGTCATTGGTATTTAGTTCACAGGCAGAGGAGGGACTAAATTAGGCCACTACTGCTCACTCTGCCCTCCATGTAGCTGTCTATATGCTGCCAGTATAAGATGAGATATATCACTGGTTTCAAACAGGAGGACTTAAACGTACAAGTATTTACATTAGACCAATCTCCATTATTAGATTACATTATTTCTTGTTGGCGTGGTGTATGAAATGTCAGAAAGAGTCCATCCCATTTTCTTGAAGTCCAAGGAGATGTCTTTAAATGTACTCAGAATCTCACTTTTATATGATATACAACAGAGAAGCATTCTTAAAAATGTGGATGAAAAATTACTTTAACAATTAATCGATCCTTAAAATAGGTGGTGATTAATTTTTCTATTTGATCAGTTGACAAATTGTTGCAGTTATAACTTAATGAGGTACTTCTGCAGTTCATTAAGCGTGTATGAAAATGTTTTAAAATCAGATTAGAAAATAGAGGTATGAATACATGTTACGTTCATGATCAAAGGATTAGACATCCATCTTCTGTAAACCCAAATGATCTATCATGAACGCACGCATAACCAACGTAAACATTCGTTAATTTGTCTGAAAGTAATTATTCTAACACAACATCCAGTTTATATATAGTTGTGCTTCATATGTGGAAACAATACAAATTGTAATTATAACTATTTGCATCTAAAGAGATCAATAATCTGTTGCAATCTTGCAACATTGGAAAAGCACCTCGGGCTGAAAGCACTCTTTGAAAGCACTGACAAAGCTTTAACATCACAAATAAATCAGTTTTAGCTGCAGTTGTCTTCATCAGTGCACAGCTTACAGTAAATATATGCAGGGCCATAGTGTGGGAACATGCCCCCCCTCAGGGCCTGCAGGGAAGTCACATACTATTAGTTTAAAAAGGCATCATGTGATATAGGAGGCACACAGGCCTAATAGGGTGCACTCACTTTTTAATCCATTATAATGTTGCAATTGACCTTGGTAAATGTTATTTAAAGGTGGGTTAGGTCATTTTGGAGAAACCAGCTCGAGTGTGCTAGAATTTGAAAATACACAGCCGGAAAAAATCTGCCACTTCCTTACAGAGCCCCTCCTCCAACACACACGAACGTGCACATGACCAATGAGGGCACGAGATAAGTTTGTGCACAGATGGAAGGCTGACAGGCAGGTAGGCCATCCAGTTATTTTAGCCGGGCCGGCTAAAATGATTGGTCGTGCTTTTTACAGTACTACGGCTTCCACAGATGACATTTTTTAATGGATTTTTTTGTCAAAGCACTTCAGATATTCATTGCTATCGGGATGTTAAGAGCATTCCATGGAATATAACAAAAAGTGCATCTCGAGCCGGTTTCTCAAACTTACCTACCCCACCTTTAATTAAAATGTAACTTCTTAAAATCTGTTTGTGCACACTGTCAATCCACCACTTTAATAGTATTTTTGTATCAATTATTAGGGAAATAATGTATGTTTATCATCACTCACTGTGTCCTTATCTTGTTTGCAATGCTACAGTAGATACCCGCTGTAGTTATGTAACTGGTTGTCACCATGGGAACAACCCCCACCCCTCCTCCCCCTTACTGGATATGCAGTGACTGTTGAAGACAAGACATCATACAAACAGCTTCATGGGATGGTACAGAGAGCAACAAATGGCTCGGAGCCAAAGAATGTCATGCTCGGAATAAAAAGCAAAGAGCACAAACACACTGGGCGATTTGTGAAATGGTGCGATTTGGTTGTATTTATTTTTACTTTATGTGAATTCATATCAAAACAGAAATGATTACTGGTTTTGTGTTATGGCCACAATGCGTTTATCTTTGATAATTACACTGCATTGCCTCACACAACACAATGCTGCGTGATAAATCTTATTTATGGTTATGAGATTGCTCGGTGAGAATCACATTAGGACATTATGTACACTCTTTGGAAACTAGCTTAAAATAAAGCAACTCATTACAGATCCTAAGCAATTCACCCAGTGCCAGTAAACCCAAGATAAGTAACCCATCCCTCATAGAACGAGTTACCAAACAATCCTAGGGAACGTTAAAAAATGCTTTAATTTCAGCTTTTCATCTTCCATGGTTTAATTAAAATTCACCTGGTAAATAAGTGAATGTATTTTAGAGCTCACACAACATGCTGAGTTATAGCACTAACCTTTCCCCAAGTTTTAAGCAAACTAATTGGATTCTGACAGTGAAATGTTTAGCCGACCTGGAAACAGCAACTCATTCTCCAATTTTATAGATTCAAAATCACCAAAAATCAGCAGGTGCACAATCACTGCACACTAAATACAAACATCTACATAAGAAATGAACAGAAAATCCAAAATCTCAGAACAAACTATTTAAGGGATAATCTTCACTTTAGCTTTCTGGTAGGTGGGGGTCACTGTTTTACTATCTTTCATCCTTACATATCTTCTGAAAGATAAACTAAACATCAGTTTACATCATCTAACAATCCATAAAATCTTCCCACTTATTTTGAAATAAACATGTCCATTCAAACTCATTCTATCCAATCTAAACAACATGCTGTTACCTCATCTGATGAACCCACTTCAGAGTATTTACCAAACTACACAATTGCTAGTTAATACAACATCAATTATTTTTAAGTCTCAATATACTGTTAGCATAATCATCTCCTTTACAGGAAAAAGGGCAAAAAATGGGTGAAAGCATTTAAAAATGTTTCCATTTTGAGAATAAAATTCAAAATATTGATACTAAACCTTTGAGAATAAATCAACCGAAAGTGTTTTCCCTTATGCCAGATCCTAATTATCTTCCTAACCCTCACTTTTCGCATTTCATTATGGCATGCAAAATGAATTTCATACTAGATATTTAACAGAAAAATCTTTCCAAAAGTCCACTTAATTATTTAAGAGCTCACTCTGAAACTGTTAAGATTAATTAATAAAGTAAATGCATTTAGTGAAAGTTTGGATTTTGCCCATCAAAGGATCCTACCGCTTCCAGCTCCAGATGTTGCCGGTGTACACAGACTTGTACGTTTTTTTTTCAGTGGCTCTGTTGAACATGAAGGAGGAACCCGAGGACCCCAGGGGTTCCTGAGTGACTGCCCTCTGAGGCTGCCACTGTCTGGGGAGAGACCTGTACCCAGCAGGCTCTGCAGGAACCGGGGCAGAGCTCCTTGTGAGGGACCCAAACCACGGTAGCGGGCCCCGGCTCTGAGTTCGGCTCTGGCTCTGGCTCCAGGTCTGGCTGCCGGTCCTCTGCGGGGCCTGGTATGACGAGCAGGCCTTCCACTCTGCCGGCGGCTCGGGCAGCTTCTTGCGTTGGGCTGCCAGGCGTATGTTTGTGGCCAGGCTCTGATGGAGGTTCTGGAGACAAAATGCTTCATCCACCAGGCCCAGGGGGTGCCGGGAGGCGGCCTCCCAGGGCATGATGGGTCTGCGCCCCTTCTCTAGCCAGGATGTCTGGCTTGTCGGGGGGGCGGTGGAGGCCCGAGCTTGAGGCTTTTGGGAGGCAGCAGACACTGACTGCTGGCCCATGGATGGCACTCTGGCTAGAGGGGAGAGAGAGTAGCTCCTGCCAAAAGCCTGCAAAGAAAGAAGCAGACATGTTTGTTTTACTAAGGGTTCATTTCTGTTTGGCTTGCAAAACGTTGGAAAACAAAGTAGCCCTCAACACATTTCTGTCAGAGACTTTCATACTCAACAGTAATAAATAAATGTCTAATTTTGTTCTCTGTTTTATTGTTGTGTGCACATATTAGAGCAATGTTAAGAATTGACAATAGAATGTTAAATGCTAAAGGCCAAGTAAACTTGTTTTTTGAACTTGAATTGCCTATTCTACAGTAAGCCTCCACTACAGTGCTTCAGTACTTGTCCAAACAGTTGTTCTCAGAACAACCCACTGTGAGAGTGCATGCTTCCCAGAATACACCACAATCAGCTTGTTTTCATTAGAACTGCTGTGCCGTGTAGCAGTACTTTGATAGTTAGTCGATGAGATTGTGAAACATATAAATGCTCAATACTAAAATCTCCATTAGAGCAGACAGCTAAGGGTCGTGTGGGGTAACAAAGCACCTTTATTGTTTCTGACTAAACACACAGTGGTTATTAGACTATCCGAAAAGGCAGTGCTGCCATCATCTGGTGAAAGATGTGTAAGATCAGTAGACAGCCAGGGAAAATGAAAGAAGAGAATAGGGGAGAGTGCAGTCATAAACAAAATGTAGCTGAATGAGTGCAGAGGGAATAAATGCTCTGCTGACTCCTGCTGTACTTGAGGCCTAAAGAGCCTGTGGCGCTGTTATCCTGGATTAGAGCAGACACAGGAAGCGATGAGTAGATTAGTGGATGATCTACGGATATATTTTCATTCTACTTTAGGAAAATTATGAAACAGTGATACTGTATATTTGCCTGACATTGTTCATCCCCATGCTGCCACTCTGCAGATTTTCACATAAACTATATCTCAGAAATGGAGCTGAGCGTCTTAAGAGTAATATGTGGATGCAGACGCTTTTGTTTTGAGACAGGTGGTAAATAGTCTCTTAATGCTAATTTATAATATGGTTTTCTTTGGGGAACCATGGTCTCAGCTGGTTCCCCAAACCAGTTATGTTTTCTTTTATGATTATATTTATGTCTGAGACAAACATTTAGATATATGCCAATTCTAACCTTAGAAAATAACTGCTCTCTCTGAAAATGCATGACAGCATGGATATATATTTCAGAAGGGACCACTCACTTGACCTCCAGAATTGTCCAATGAGGTCGCCTGCACCCATTGAAGCCAGCAGTCTAATAATATCCTTCATGAATGCATCATCAGTTAGTCATTCTGCAGGAATGTGCTTTTCAAGCATTCACCTTGGTAAGCTTTTAAAGTCGGTGATTTGGATAATGAGGTGATTCTGGCCGACGTTAAGCCCTTTATACAGTAGACTACAAACTGTTTTTTATTGTTGAAAACTCATTTGACTGCTTTTGCAAAAAGATAATATAAGTCTTAGTCTAATGTGATGGTACTTGAGAAGCAACTGATTAAATGCAGCCGAATTCTTTGTCTGACAATAACTATTTATTCCTTTTTTAATAACTAATTATAGGTATGTATAGTGCATCAGGAGTAAGTGGTGAAATTCAGCAACATGAAAAGGAAAGAGACTAGAAATAGTTGAAAACCAAAAAGCATGCTCAAAGGACAAAAGAAAGGAAAGCCAACCAAGGATGAAAGACATTTTAATGGCACTGCAGTGAATCATACAGAAAGTGCACAAAAAAGAGAAACACACAAAGGAAAAGGAAAAAGAAAATAACTTAAAAAACAAAAGCAGCAAAATACTTGTGAACATCAATGGGCTGGTTGTCTTTTTTAATAATTCTTCATTTGTGGATCATCTATCTATATTATACAAAAGCCAGAGAATATGTATGGAAGAGTGTAACTACATTTGGTAATACTATATTTCTCTTATCCAGGCCTGAGGTATAGTAGCTTTCACTGGCTTGATTTGAAATGTAAGCTTACTATCTCTGGACCTCAGCACTCCTCCCATGAGGCAGTTTAAATATAGTACCTAACATGATGCAACAGCTGGGGAGAAGCTTAAAATAAAACTCACCCACTTTAGTAGACGCAACGTAAAAGCCACTAAAATGTAACATCTAACATTTGAAGTTTAGGCAAGTCAGTGCTAGTTACTTTATGTATTCTCTTTGCTGACTTTACTTAAAACGGTGAACTCTGACATAGCAAATGTATCCTTCTGCTTGGTATCATTACACTTCACAGATTCATTGTGTCCTTAATAAGATTTGACACAATTAGCAATTTTCTTCTTTTCAAAAATTGAATTCCTGTTGTCACCGTCCGCTATCATTCCCTTCTGATTCATTTTTTCCATTACTCCTTTCTTTCAATTCTTACTGAGCATCTTGCTCCCCCTACATTCGTATATTACCACCACTTTAGATCATTTGTCATAAAAGTATGTTTTATAGTAATTTCTCTATAAACACGTAAAAATGTACCTGCTTTATAAACATGTCAAGGTCATTTTAGCTCCTTTCTGTCCGGTAAGATATACTTGCATCCCACTCTTACTTATTTGTTGTTATGTTGTGATTTGCATTAGCTCTTAAAACTGTGAAAACCACCAAGCTCTGTACTATAACAAGAGGTGGATATAAAGATCGCAAACGCAAGTTCATGTGCTCAAAATAGTCCACCTTGCAGTGGATTGCTAGAGCACCAACCCTTTGACTCAAGCATGTGGTGATTGTACCAGAATCACTCTTTATCTGCTGAAGGCTTCCACACCTGAGCTGAGCTCTTCTTTGCCATGAACTTAGGTTTAGGAGCAGCTGCAGGGCCACCTAATGCAGATTCAGGCCTTGCAGCTACATTAAAGCTAGAAACAACAAAGCTACTGGGAGGCTGCTGCTGGTAAGGTACTGAGGGCGCTGCCATGTAAGGCGGGCTGTTAGCTGGTTGGTAAGGGGCCTGCGGGGGCTGCGGGGGATGTTGGTACGGTTGGTTTGGAGACTGAGGAGCTTGGGGATGATAAGCAGGGGGGCCAGGTTGCTGATACTGTTGGTTATAAGGTTGCTGGTATGGACCAGCAGGGGGTTGTTGATAAGGGTTGGAGGGGGGATAAATATTAGCTGGGTGTTGCTGGTAGTGGCCATCATGCATCATGGGCTGCATTGGCATCCCATAGCCTTGCTGGGGGTAAAGGGTATTATATGGTCCAGTTTGCTGGACGGGGGCCATCTGATCATATCTAATTGGTTGGTTTTCGACAGGTGGGTTAGGAGGTGAACACTCTAGCTTAGCTTGAGCTGCCTTGGCAGCCTCTACTGCTGGGCCGAAAGTAAAGAGTGAGGAATCGAGTTGATAGGGTTGATGCTTCATAACATCTATTACATTGAGGGGTTTAGGGGCAGGCTTTGGTTTCCCTTGGTCTTTTTTCTTGGCTTTGATTGTAGGACTAGTGGAAGGGGGCTGCTTTGGTGGGGGATTCCAAGGGGACTGAATAGGGTTGTATGATCGTGAAGGAGGAGCACGTACGCTAGATGTGTATTTCCATTCATTTGGTAAGGATGCAACTGGTGATGGTGCCCGGGTTGCCTTGTTTGCTTCCACAGTCTCAGAGTCCACAACATATTTCTCCATACGAGACTGCCTCTTAGCGAACATATCAGCTCCTTTCCCTCTGACGGCTGGCATATCACAAGATGAACCCTGGGTTGCTGGGTTTAAGACACTCGCCATTGGGTTGATGGGAGATGAAGAATGTTGACTGATGTTGAAAGAGTGCATTCGCTGTGGTGGAGTTGGAGGGCTCCTTGCTTGTGGGAGATTGTGTGGTGGTTGCCAAGGTTTTGGTGAAGGCTGAGTGTTTACCATTGTTGTGGAAGCACTCACAGGTGTTTGCTGTGGCTGTGGTGCCCAGGCATTCACAGGTGTCTGAGGTTGTGTCTGAGGTTGAGGCCATGTATTAATCGGTGGCTGTGGTAGAGAAGAGGACTGTTGCCAGTTTGGCTGTGACGTTGGCTGTGGTGGACCTGGTTGAGCCCAAGGCGGTTGATTTTGGGGTTGAGGTTGGGTCTGATTTTGCTCTTGGGCCCAAGAATTAATGGGTGGCTGAGCAGGTTCTGTAGGGTTCTGGGCCCATGATGGTTGGGACTGAGCCTGGGCTGGTACTGGCATCCATGGATTCACGATGGCTTGAGGCTGCGCAGGAAGTTGTGATGGGGCTGCTTGGATCCAAGGTGGCTGAACTTGGGCTTGAGTTTGTGATGGAGGCCATGCATTAATTTGAGGCTGCTGTTGAGGTGGAGCTGAGACCCAAGGTGGTTGAGGCTGACATGGTGCTTGCGCCTGTGGCCATGCTGGTTGTGGTGCCTGATGCTGTGGTTGCTGAACCCATGGCTGCTGTGGCTGAGATTCAGTTTGAATCGGTTGAGCCCAAGGAGGTTGTGCTTGGGGTTTCTGCTGCGGTTGTTGCATCCATGGTGGTTGAGGCTGAGAGTCTGCCTGTGATGGTTGTGCCCATGGAGCCTGGGGTTGCTGCTGCTGCATTGGTTCTTGGGGTTGACCCCAAGGTGGTTGTGACTGCGGCATATTTGGCTGCTCGTGAGAGTGTGTCCAGGGGGGCTGAGCCTGAGGATGAGACGGTGGTTGCTCTTGAGGTTGGGTCCATGCTGGCTGAATTTGAGGGTTCCAATTATTTGTAGGAGGTTGAGGCTGTACTTGAGGCTGTACTTGGGTCTGTGCAGGTAGACGTGTCACCCAAGGTAGCTGGGGTGGCGACTGACTTTGAGGTGGTACCTCGGGCTGCACTTGAGCTGGAGGCCAAGAATTGGTAGGTGGCTGTTGTTGTGCCTCGGTTTGTGCTGGAGCCCAGCAAGGAGCAAGCTCATGCTGCGGGGGACAATTCGTATGACCATTCTCCTCCTGAGCCGTCACTTGCAGAGGCTGTTGAGTTTCAGGTTCTTGTAGAGCCCATGTGGGCTGTTCCACAGTGGGATTGCTGGCAGGAGCCTCCTGGGGGGCAGGAGGGGGGGAGGGCTCAGGGGCAGGTGCAGGGGTTGGCTCTAGTTCTGGAGCAGGGGTTGTCTCTATGGTGGGGGCTAGAGCAGGTGTGAAAACACTATTTTCAGCTTGTTGAGGCATGTCCTGGTTGATCATTTCTATCTGCGGTGTCCAAGGAGGAGAGTTGGGGTCGATCACAGGCTTTGGAGCCACAGGTGGAGGAACCTTATGTTTAATTTGTTGAGATTGCAGGAAATTACAAGCCTCAGCCCCAAGGCTAAGGTAGTCTTCCTCGCCTCCTGACTCAACACCCAACTTCCTATCCTTTCTGTTGAGGAGGTTTAGCAGTGCTGGGTTAGGCGATACTTTAGGTGCTTCCTTAAACGAGAACATAGGCTTACCAGCATTTCTTCTCCTTGCGTCGGACAAAACCCCAGTCCGACTCGCAGGGGTAGCAATGCGCTCATCCCGGGAGGCTATCTGCTCTCCTTGGCCCACAGAATCTTGATTGGTCCCACTCATTGCGGGAGAATAAGGAGCAGCCACCATGTTTTCTGCAGCGAAAGGCTTTGCAGATGGATTACTGAAAGAACTCTGGATTTCACTGTGTTGATGTTGCACTGTGCCATTGATGTTTGTAGAATAGTGCTGCATTTGCTGTTGCTCTTGATATTCTCGCTGCTGCTGCTGATACATTTGCTGCTGTTGATAGTGCTGTTGTTCATACTGCTGCTGCTGTTCATACTGCTGCTGCTGCTGCTGCTGCTGCTGCTGCTGCTGGTATTGTTGTTGTTGTTGTTGTTGTTGTTGTTGTTGTTGTAGTTGTAGTTGTTGTTGTTGGTAGTTCTGTTGTTGCTCATAGTACTGCTGCTCCTGATATTGCTGGTACTCTTGTTGTTGTTGGCTTTGTTGGTGTATATTTACATCCATATAAGCATGGCCCTCTGTTGTGGACTGCATGTAAGTGTGCTCCTCCATCTTCTTTTCAATCAACGGTACTGCTTCCACGGGTATCCCCTGGCGCCTGAGCTCATCATGTTCAGCAGAAATCTCATCCATCCTTAAACGCCGTTGGGCAAACATTGTAGCCCCCTTGCCCTGTGTGTCAGGCAAACAATCCATCTCTGCTCCGTTTTTCAGGTTCCTTTCAATCTCCAGAAGACCCTTGTCCCAGTTGATAGTTAGCACACTTTTGCCACTTTGGGCATTAATGAGGAAGTGCTTGTCTATTTCAGAACCGTTTGGAGCCACAAGGGTAAATTCAACAGTGTGGGTTTCCTGTGTATCCTCGTCCTCTTCGTCGCTGTACTCGGGTTCGTCTTCTCCTGTGCCGTAGCTCACCAGTGTGTATTTCTTGGCCCTCTGCCGATGTTTCTTGAACATCAACACCCCCTTGTTGTTGGGGTTAGGCGGAGCAGCCGACAGAAGGAGAGCAATACGTTTACATTTGGACTTGGCTTCCTTCACCTGCTTTTCAGAAAGACTCTCGCTGCGCCTGAGCCCTGTGTAGAGAAGAAAGTTCAAGGGTTAGGGAAATCAATAAAAATGCTTCGAATCCTAACCTTTTTTTTTATAAACTGCTGCTCCTGAATGTCTGTCCGAAAAGAACATATTAGGTCATTATATAAACTCCATTACTGTTATCACTCATCTGAAGAGTAAAAATAGAGCTTGCATAAACAACATGGTGACAGATGACAAAATTAAGTTTCGAACCAAAGTTAAGCAGGTCACAAAGCAATTAGTTTCAGTGTGTAATATTACATTGATTACATCACCCTTCTGTACAAATATGTTTTAAAAATACCAAATGTTCATATTTAAAGCAGAAGCAGATATATTAACAGACTAACAATTGATTATAAGTGCTGTAAATGAACCGTGTTATAAAATAATATAACACAACTAATCTAAGCCATTAACTCTTTCCTTTACATTTCTACCTATAGCTGTATACTGTCCTAATTCGTACAGTCAGTTTAATATAACACATTAACCCATATAGCAATCATTAAATCCTCTGACCCATGTCTAATACCCTTATTCATTCACAGACAATGAACTACATTAAATCAGTTGCTCTTTCCCATAAAGTATCCAGGAATAGGAACTGAGAAAGAGTAAAGATAGCCTGCATGCAATACATTCAAGAGGAGCAGAGCGTCTTGACTTCCTTATCTGTGAGTTCACATGCTGCCAACTTAAAACCTTCTGCTCTTCTTAAAGCTGCCACCTTGGCTGACACACTCACAAAACAAAGCCATTCTAACCAACAATGCAAAGCTAAAATCAAATAATAAGAAGGTTTTCTTTTTCATATTCCTGCAAGACAAACCTGAAGGTGGAGGAGACAGCGGGAGTGAGCAACTGACTCACTTTTTTAGCTCAGTTAAAGCAGCCAGTTTGAGGGGATCAGGTAACGGGCCAGTGGAGCACATGCTGGTGTCTGTCAAAGAGCCCCTTCTGCAGGCATCATCAGCGTGCTCCGGTTATATTTATGTCTTCTAACCAGCGCCTCAGTCTCCACATTCATCATCCGGCCTCTTCAAATGGATAGATCTTTTATAAAGTAAAGCAGCCTCTTACATGCAATCAATTCCATTGATTCTTTATATCTAGCTTTTGTTGACTGTCACCATCCTATCTGCACTGTGTCTCTGTACTATCGCCGTGATTCAGTTGTAGTTCAGGTTTAAAACACGGAAGTATCTGCTTCTGTGAAGGAATGAGTGCCAACCTCCAACTGCATTAAGAGACACGCACTATTTTAAGCAGCACACACTCCCACTTGGAATGCACACATGTTGTGCACAAATGCAATTTAGTGTTGACCTACAGTATTAGCCTGCAGGCCCCTCCTTCACGAATAGTTTAGCACTCACACACAGTGAAAAAAGGGTAATACTTCCTGGTACTTACTGGCATGTTTTGCCCGATGCTTGTTGGGTTTGTCTGGATCCCCCTCAGTCTCTGAGTCCTGCTCTTCTGCTGCTGTCGCCTCTTCTGAGGGAAATGAGACAGTGAAACACCCAGGAACTCTCTCACAGGGCCCTCCTCCTTCCTCTCCTTCACTTTGGGACCCATTGACCCTAGGGCCTCCCACCCTGGAGATGCTCCTCCTTGTTCCTGATGCGCCTGGCTGCTGCACAATGACCTCCACCTGCCCCAGCATGGACGGGGAGTTGAGCACCACCCCGTGCTGTCCGAGCGGCTCCCTGGCAGGCCGTGGGACATAGTGCGACGTTATGCTGGTGGTGTGGATCTCCTGGACAGCCTCTCTGTTGGAGAGTTCCCCGTCTATCCCCATAGCACTCCCCAGAGAGGTGCAGCCCACGTCCTCCAAAGTTGACTCGGACAGGGACACCTGGAGCTCCACCATGTTCCCAGGGGAGAAGCATTGCCGTTCTTCATTTTTCTTGAGAATAGGACCTTTCTGATCATCAGACGAGGGAGCATGGAGCTGGGTACAAAGCAGTTGGGGACTCTTGGGAAACTCTGTGTCCCCATAGCAGGTCTCGTCCTGGGCCTCGGATATGTAGATTTCCTTCGGGCTTTGGGACCTGTGTTGTGGGGGGAAGATGTGGAGGGTGGTGCTCTCTACAGCCTCACCAGAGGAGTCCCTCTCTGCAGCGTGTGTCTCTTCTGATTCATATTCTTCTGATGGGACGATGCAGGATCTTTCAGAGGACAGGGGAGAACAGAAAGAGAGTGGTGAAACTTTTCATTTTCCAAGTTCGTCATAAGGGGAGATGATACAGTTGAACATGGTAAAATGTCTAACTTTTCACTAGCTAGAAATCTCCAAATTGACCAGAGCATGTAAAAAAAAAAAGTGTATGCCTGTAGTCTTTCACTTTTAATATCAATAAGAGATGTCACTTCAACTTAATTAAACAGAACTGTAGACTTTTGAACTTTTCAGATTAATACAAAATATATTTTCTTCCTATGAACCATCCCATTCATTATTTCCATTTAGATTTTCCCATTAAAAGACAGGTGTGATGTCCTCATATTTACAATATCATTTGAATAAGCAATGCATAATGAGGCCCCTGAGTAATGGAGCCATTTGATTGTTGATGAAGTAAAGTTTGTCTCCCATTGATGAAGTTGTCAAAGTAATCAAGTAGATTTAATGTTCATGCAGCGAGCTAAATGAAAGGCCCCGGTCACTGAAGAGGAAAATAATCACGCTTCACCATCGCTCTGCCTAATTTCCACTTTCAAGGTCAGTAAGGAATAGCACAACAGAAACTCATTATCCCCGACATCAATTATTAAATGTACGTTGATTAGACGTCAGTGAGTGCACATTTTCTCCAAATGGGAAAGACATATGATAATACATTTTGATAAACTGAGGTCATCCGTCTACAAGTCTACAGAGATAAGAGTCGCACATAAACTATACTAATCCTGCACTCTACACTACTACTACTACTACTACTACTACTACTACTACTACTACTACTACTACTACTACTACTACTACTACTACTACTACTACTACTACTACTACTACTACTACTACTACTACTACTACTACTACTACATTCAATAACTAAATGAAACTTTAACTGTATGTCCCTCTGCAGTTTAAATGCATGCACATGCCCCTTTTGAGGACACGTCCCCCTGATAAACACTTTGTCTGAGTAATAGCTGAGCAGCTGCACGTCAATCAGACACACAAATCTGTATCGCCAGCGGAAGGTCAGCCTGACTGACACACATTAATTCACTAATTCACACACAGACATGATTGCACTTGCATATAGTCATTGAGCCATGCTAAAGGCCACAGGTCATAAAACAACATGCTATCTAAATGCTAATACGGAGGTGCAACAATTATGTTTGCATTGCTGCAGTCTGCATGGCTCAGTGGTCCTGATACACATATTCTGTCATGTTACTGAACTCTCTATCGTTAATCTAACAGGTGATTTGTGGCCCTACCTTTTGAGCAGCAGCTGCAGACAGTCGATGGATGTGTCGATGAATGCACAGGCTCGTAACAGAGTGAGATCAGCACACGGCTCTCCGTTCAGTGACACCACCTCGTCACCTTCACACACTCCAGCCAGGGAGGCACGACCTTCGGCTTCCACCTGGGGAGGAAAACATTTAAGTAAGAGGACAAAATAAATAGAAAAACAAGCATATCACATACTGAGTCAGTGTTCATCGTCAGGACACAGGTCAAGTCTATTATAAAGTAACAGTAACCTCAGCCTATGTTCATCATCAATAAAATATTGCCAGTGGCTACTGATTTCAAAATATAGAGAATTCTGGACCAGATCCCTGTCACAAATACATTTCTATCTGGTAAGACTGTTTTCTAGGTTATAAACAAATTGTAATTTCATATGAGCAAAGTATTCTACTTCTCAGTGAAGCATTTTAACAAACTCCACCTACAGATGTAATTCTAACAACTTCAAATTTCTTCAGTAAGACCTTTATTTTATTTCAACATTTATGTCCTATGCATAAATAAGCCAACAAATCATTACAAATGAAAAGCCAAAAATGTCCCTAGGGAGGCACTGTATAGGTAATTGCAACAATTTGCTAAATGCACAATGTACAATCAACGTCACCAATTTTGAGGCTGCAAAATGATAAATAAATGTAATTTTACATTGTCTTTTCATCAAGCTGCCGCATAATATTTCTAAAGGCCAGCTCTGCACAATCCTATTTAAAGGGCAGCTCTTCATACAGTTGAAGTAATGACTGATGGTTCCCTTGTAATTGGTTCCTGCGGCTAACATGCTCTGTTGATAGGAGCATTTAATAAGGAGAAATACCCCGTAAGTTCTACACAAGAGAAGTTTCCTGATTTCTTGAGATTGATTACTGCATAAAAATGTTTCAACACTAGATGGTGTTTTACCACCATCAGCATGACATCTATAATGTATTTATTTTGGATTCAACAAACCTCTCTTCCCTTCTATTCATTTTGTGCAGGTGAACAATTGTTTTTGTCAGAATAATTTGGTGTAGGTTTAGGACAAATAGTCTACTATTTTACTAAATTAAAATGTTAAGTAAAACCCAGTCTTTTTGCACAATCCTCTCCATACAAATGTATTCATTTGGAGTTCCTGCCACAAGATGGCAATGCAAACAAACACAAACATGTCTTGCTGCTGGAGGAAGAGATTCCCTCTGTGAATAAGCTTAGAAAGACTGCAGTTGGCACCTAAAACACACCAAGTTGCACTAATTTCAAAGGAATCAGATTTAGAACCACAGCAGAACCACATTAAAACCAATCTCATTGAAACCATTCTCTATCTGTCTGTTGTTTTTTCTTTCAATACTTGTATAAAAAGGGCATATGCAAAACCAACCAACTTTTTTTGCAGTTTGCCAACATCTACACTACCTTAAACCATGAGCAATGAAACGAGCCTACCTCGCTATACATACAAAAATATTTTACGAGTGACTTTATTGAGCTGGTAAATCTGTGACTCCATCTGAGTTTTTAAGAGTTAACAGAGTGCATGCAGGCCCTATAAGGCGGCCTGTGAGCTGGTCCATTGGGACACCTCATTACAGGGAGGACGGTTTTCTGGAAGCAACCTCCAAAAAAGGAGGGGAAACAAGTGTTGTTGTCTCCTCGCAACAGAGAGACATGCACAGGAGTTTGTCATGTGCTGCTGGTAAAGAGAAGCAGGAAAGGATAGCAAACTACTGAAGGTGTCAGGAGAGGAAAAACTGCTTTTTCAAATAAAGTGATTTCCAACAAGTCCCTGATCAGCAGGATTTACCTCTGACATCATGTGGGGCCGTAATTACAACCTTATCCTGAGCTGCCCATTTTCAAATTATCTGTTTAATAGGCTTCAACACAACAGAAAATCACAGGAAATACAGGAGTGCATTATGTGTGCACATAGCTGCCGGCAGTTCCTGACCTCACAGCTTTAAGCAATTACGTTTTTACATTTGAGGAAAATATTTTCCAGCTGCCTTACAGGTAGCATTTGGGAGGACGGTTACATTTAATGTTTTATTTACTCATTGAGTTCAAGTTTTCTTTTATTACCAGACAGCCAGGCCAGTGTTAGTAAAGAGTTATGCTTTTTTGTGTGTGTGTGTGGAGGGAAACATTTTGAAAGGCCAGAGAGTTTATTTTAGTTGTTTTAGTTTTTTATTTGTTTTGGACAATGAACAAAAAAAATGTCATAAGTGATTTTTATCAGCTTTAGCTTACCCCTGCAAACCGTTATAAACTCTTTGCAAACACATAGCACAGCATTTTGCTGAATTATATTGTTTTAGAGAGTTTATGCAAATGTTTCAGGTCTCTTTATTTAATTTTAACTTGAGCAAACATTTCTTAATTCAGATTCGAGGAAGGCCATTGAGAAGCCTAAATAAATATAAATATGAATATGTTTACTTTGACAACATGAATAGGGCATCAAACTAAATGTTCATACAGGTAAACTCATTGTATTCTATTTACTCCTGTTACTGTCCAGAAAAATAAAACAGTGCAACAAATGTTAAAATAAATAAACTACAAAAATGGTCCATTGGGTTGGCAGAAAAATACTTTGTCACAAAGCTGAAAACAAGGCTGAAGTCCAGCTGGCACAGACAGAACGCTCTGAGCCAGGAACACTGAACTCACAAATATATCATCTCAATATAAAGCTGTTGGTCTTAATTTGTTTACATGAAGGCAAATAGAAAGAGGAGAAACTAGCACAGTCATCATCTGAGGTCAATGCTTTCTCCGGGACCAGGATGTGGATGTTTTGCTGAAAAACACAATGCCAAAAACTGCAGTGAAGCACTTTGTTTACTCGCCTTGAATGAGGGAAGCTATGGCCTTTTGCTGTTTGCTTGGCAGCTTAATAAGGTTCCTCTGATGTTCTATTAGGACAAATCTGCAACAAGAGCCCTCTCTGCTCTGTGTGTGAAGGGTGAGATAACCCGGGCAGAGGGAGACCACTTTTATTACAAGATACTAGGAACAATAATAGTAAGTAATTGAGTAATTTGAATTAGTTTTAACTAGAGCTGCGAAAAATGTATTGCGTCCTTTATATATAATCTTCTATTTTTATTATAGATAAATGGTTAAAAGTCATTTTTCATGCACATGTCTTTAAATGCTGTTTTTAAAATCAGAATACTTTCTTCCCCAATTACTTTCTTTTAATCGTGTATTTTTGCTGGATAGAATTTGGTTGGCTTATTTTAGAATATAAAAAACATAACCAGATAAAATGTATTACAAATTAAATATTTAATTTAAGTTTAAGTTAAATATGCACTAAAAAAATTGTTAAATAAAAAACAGATTCTACATTTTTATTTTTATTAGAAGTTAAGTGAAATGTGCAAATAACAATATACAGCCTCTCAATCATGGAGATTTGCCTTTTTCTCTGTTTCATATCATAATAGAGTGAATATCTATTTGTTTTTGACTGACAAAACAAGACATTTAGACACATCGCTTTTTACTTTGAGAAAATACAGTAATGTTGAAGTTAATTAATAATGAGAATAATGTTAGTATAATGTTAGTCTCTGCCCTAGTATACCTTCTGAGAAGTCTCAGACTTGCATTACTTTTTCTTTATTCACTGGCCTTAACTGATGTGATGCATGTTGACATTCCACATCCCAAGAAGGCATACCTCAGTAATTGGAGGCCAAATGTATCCTGTTGGTAAGATTTAAGAGATATCTGTTTCTTATTAAAACAGATTACATCCAAGTACTTTTGCTGAGACAACTAAAACAAGCCTTACACTGTACATCAGCTGTAAATATGTCCATGTTTTTCTGAAGGGGCATTGGTCATTGGTCTTGTATTGAGTAGTTTCTGCAGCTTTAAAAAATAAAGTGACCTCATCCACTTAGTACTGAGGCCAGGACTCCAAAGAAGAAGAAAAATAGTGGCTCCCTTATATGGAGAGAAGCTTTAAGGAGTGGATACCCTGTGCCCTTACACTGCACAGTCTGAACCTTCACTTTCTCTCAGAAAACAACACAGTTACACTCAACTGAAGCTTTAGAAAACACAGGAGAGCCTGCAGCTAAAGAAAATCTGTCAGGATGTTGGTATGTTTGCTTTTTTGACTTTAAACTAACAGACTTGGCTCTCTGTATTTCCAACAGGAAGAGTTTGGAGATATGTTCAGAGTTATGCCTTCGAGATGACGTGGATTAAACCCCTGATTCCAAACCCCTGATTCCAAACACTGACGCATCATATACTGGAGCTACTTCACTTTAAAAGGTCATCACCTATATGCAGTGTATTCAAGACACTCTTAAAACATCAGTATTATGTCCAAAAATAGAAAATAGTCAAGTTTTAAGAACAAAATAACACTGAAACAATAGAAGTTGGGGGCATTCACCGATATAGGGACAGACTTTTACTGTTGTTTTGCCAAATAATCCTCACTTGTGCAGCTAATTTGTAGCTATAATATGTTTAGAGAATATGTAGATAGAAAAGTGGCTTGAAAGCTTGCTTTGAAACTCAAAGGACACATTGATGGAAAGATATTCAATGTTGAAATTGTTCTGCAGCCTACATTTGTGGTTCTGTCTTTTTGTCATTTTGTTAATAAAGTTCAATACAACTTTTGGAAACAGAGACTAACATCACATACAACTAACATTTAACACCTGTTTTTATTGTGATATAATCTACTCACTTAATGCCAGAATCAATGAAATGTTCTGTAATGTGTTTTAGCTACTTTGAAGCGTCAGGGGATGTGTGTCCACTTACTCAGTTAGAAAGGACTATTTCATGCCAACACATGTTGAAATACTATCTATATTCATACATAAATGTCAGTAAATGTCAGTTAGAGTTGTAAAGTGTGTCCTGAGAAGGATCTATGGAAGCTTTCAGCGGGCTCTCTGCTCGAGGAACTTTGATGTCGCAGGAATGCAGCATAAGAAAAACATTTACACGTTCAGAACAGGTTGACGAGGGATCTGTACAGCGTGAGCACTCCTGGACATGCATGGTATACCATATATAGAGATAAAGGCACCTATACCTATGTTTACATCATAGCCTGATATCTCAAAGCATCATCTGTCTTTATGTAACCTAATGTATTGGGAGTTTTTATCGTCTATACATTTACACAAATGCAATATATTCTGCAAAAATAATTAATATATTATCATGGAAGATATGTAGGCCAGAAGATAAGCAGACTACAGAATATTAAATGATTGAGGGCTATCCAAAAATGAATTATGTCGACTAACAGAGAAATGTATAATTAACAGATCTATTAAATTGAGTTTCTCCACAAAGAACTGTAAATATTGTGTTTTGCAGAGATCTACGTTTTGTAGAAATAAGTCATTCAGCATGAAAAAAAGCATTAATTAATTATTCAACAACTAAACAAATCATAGAGCTAAGCCACCAATTAGTTGGCTAATTGACTAAGAGGAAGTAGACATATGACTTCACTTCAAAAAGCAAATAAGACTCAACAGTGTGTGTCAAAAGGACTAGCCTACTAAATCATGCCTTACAGCTTACAGTTAGAACTGAATTACAGCCTATTATTAGGTTGTAAACAGTTAAAAAAGATGTGAATAGAATGAAAAATGTACTCGCAAGTTCTGTTTAAATAGAATAATGCCATTATAAAAACATTTCAATTTATACTGTCTCAAAATTATGTCCTTGCAATATCTTGTAATGCATAATAAGAAAATGAGATACTTTACAGCTACTTATATAAGGTTTATTATGCTACCACAATATCATTTATTCAAAGCAGCCTAGTTATAAAATAATCTATAATTTGCCTAACCTCCTTTCTGACGTTATTTGAATTCTCTTTTAAAGTGACATCAGCTGAGTTTTATCTGACTTTTGCTTTGTTTGTTTTCATTTCTGCATTATGCACACACTCCTCACTCTTCAGGTTTGGCTGAATAATGCTTTTCTTTCTTGCAAAGTCTGTGTGAGTGATAACAGATCATTCTGCCCTCAGCTTCACACTCTCTCTTGGCCTTGACCATATAAGGGTCCAGAGGAATCTCTCACCAAAACACAGCCAACGCTCACAAGAATGCAGCGACACACACACTGCTCCGAATAAAAAGTTACGAAAATTAACATTTATCTTTGAACTACTCAACATCAAAACCATATGATACTTGTATCCAAACTAAATACTACTATACTCTACAATGTTTAGGATATTTCCCACACAAATACCAAAGCATTTACAGGGAGAACCAATTGCTTATCAACACCAAAAGTCTGTTAAAATCCTGAAAGATGGGTAAATGGATAGATACCTGGGAGATTAGGAAGGGTCTGTAGGTGTCCCCCTCTCCCTCCCTCAGGGTGAAGCCCCAGGGTGCACCCCCCCGCAGAGTCACGCAGATGTAGTCCCCGGTGCCCATGCTGCACACAGCTCCTCAGCCGAACCTCCACCGAGAGATCATGGAGCTGTCAGCCGGACCAGCAGCACTTTGCAAAACCTCCTCTAGCACACAGCTGTATAATCCCCATCCTCTGGGTCCTGCAGGAGTCCAGCCCGCTGAGGAGACGTCACTGCGCCTGGACCCGCCTGCACAAACCGCGTGCAACTGGTTTGTTATGGTGAGGAACAATTCTACGTAACATCCCCGAGCTATGACATCCAAATAAACACTAAAGAACTACTACATGATAATTTTAAAAACTATTGTACGCCTCTTAAAAGGGTACATCCGGTAGTCTTAAAGATAGCAACTTCAGGATGTTATGTATTTATGCGATTCCATCTTATTTTTAATTTTTTTTCCTGCAGTGGCAATAACATAATGATGTACAATTTATCTTATTAAAACGTGATATAGGCACTATTTTAGAGTTTAGAGAAAATCGAAATATTGTCCGTTGAACTATGAAGCCAACAACATAAAAACTGGCAGGGGGCAATGGAATTTTTGTTTTACATATTTTATTTGACTTGTTATATTCTTTGGTCGTAAAATGTTTTTGTTTTTTTAAGAATCACTTATGTTATGTATGGGTTGTCATACCTGTGGAGCACTTTAAACTGCACTATCCTGAATGAAAGGAGCTGTACAAATGAGATTTTAATTTAAATCTAGGAGTTCCTGGACCACACTTTAAGACTCAGTCACTGCACATTTGATTTTTGTGTGTAGGGTTAATTTCTCTTTCTCAAATCCCCCAACGTAGCATCTAAATCCCTGTTCAATATACATATACCAAGTTTTGTGAACCTATAACTTAAACTATCCTTGGCAAATCAACACTTTTGTCAAACTGTTATAATTTTCTTTAACGGTCATTATCCATGTATTTCAAAAGTACTCTATGGTGTATATTAATTATAACAGGGTGAAAAATCTGTAATTATAATAATGAAACCTACAGGTCCACATCCCTTTGCTGACGTGTATGGGTTCCCTCGCTTCCACGCATGCGTACTGCGTCAGACACAAGTTAGCTAAAAACACATCGACCAAAGCAGGAAAATCCATTGTTTACATTTCATAATAAAAGCATAATGAAACGTTTTAAAACTCATATTTATGCGTACAGAACGTCTAAAGTGTTTTATTAAACGTACAAAGTTAACTAACTAATTAACTAACTAAACTAAAAAGGGTCGTTTTTAGAAACGAGTATTTTGTTTGTGTCATTTATATCGTGTACTACTGTTATACGTTATTAAAGATTTTACTTTGAAATGTGCAACCGGAAACCTTGTTTTTGACAGAAGTAGCGTAGCGACCGGCGCTTTGGTGAGTTTGACGTGGCACTCTGCTTTCACAGAGAACCGTGGAGAGGACTCTGCCCAGTATTCAGGTAAATACCCCAACTACTATATTAACACCTATAAGCCAATACACATGACTTAATATGTGTCGTTTAATTATTTATTTGTATGTGTTTGAAATCAATGTGCTTCTTCTGGTGCCAAAGGAAAAACTTTGTAGTAATTTCCGCGTAGCTAGCAAGATGTTTCCTATCAACATGTAATCAACACTGTACGAGGTGCTGTGCTGGCATCTTACTCTTTTATATCAGGTGTTTAAATGTTTGTCACAGCCAACATATGTTACCACACAGAGGATATCATGTGTGTTCCTACAACTGGGAGGTAATTTATTAAAGCAGGGATGCTCAAATCTTTAGCTATCATACATAACGGTCTTTGACGTGGCAATTATCGGAAGTGGCAGAAACGATTAACTATGTAACTGAACAATTTACCAAGCCCAACTGTTGCTATTTCATGCTTTTTACTTAGGGTAAAACGTCTTAAATTGATTTATTATCCTGTAATAAAGGGCTTTGATGGAGTTGTCAGTACGCAGCTGTTATTTGTGTTGACCCAGCTGTGCCAAAGTTCACCTTGTATTAGGGAAAAGTGTACAGAACCTTTGCTTTTAAAGACTTTGGTTGTGAAAAGGCTTTTTTAATTGAAGGCCTATAATGGTATTTACATGTAAGGAATTAGGCAGATGACATTGGATCGTCGCTCTGACAGGCAAACAGAAAGTCATGCAGTTACTTGAAGGTAATTCAAGTAAGGATAGGCCTTTCTTTATCTCTCAATAAGCAATGCCAAAGGTCCATGTTACACGAGTGTGGATGATTACATGAGGTCAAATATCAGTTGTTGTTGGTGTGTCTTTTCAAACAGGCCAGAGCTGTGAAAAAGATAAATAGATTCTTGTGTTACCACAGAAAATGTCTATTGCAATATCAGTGGTTTGGAAACAAACTTAATTAAGTCTACTGTTGTCAAAATTAATTAGAAGCACTCAATTACAATATAACCATTAGTTGTGGCCCCTTATAATTAAACTTGACTCTTTTTGACTCAACAGGTTGCCAACTCATTGATCCTGGCATGAGAAGACAGTAACATCCCATCAAGATGAGTCAACAGGGTTATGTTGCTGCACCCCCGTACTCCCAGGCCCAGCCCGGGATGGGGGGCTACCAGGGTGGGTTCGGAGCTGGTCCTGCACAGCCCCTCTATGGGCACTATGGGGGTCCGCCTCAGACATTCAACGGTCCACCAACAGGTAGAGCAAAACCACTGTGTGTTTAATGTTTCCTCAAAAGACCAGTCTAATCTTGTTGCTAGCATGATCAGCTTGTTCATTCTTGAAATACAACAAATAGCAACGAGTGCTGTTTCTCCGTAATATACGTTTTCAATTATCAAGATGTCAGAGATGTGCTGTTATTTATTGGGATGATATGACTATTTGAAATAATAGGTCTGAAGTGCTTGCTTTGCTGAATATGGCTCATTACATGTCTTAGTCGGCAGCTGAGTTCAGGTTTTGTACATTATCTTGAAAGCTCCAAACAGCAAAACAAACACACTGATATTATACTTTGACTGCTGTGGGTATAAAATAAATAATATGTGTCACAGTTGGATTTATAGTAACAACATTTTGGGTTAAGATACCTTGACATTTCTTGAATATATATCCTATTCAGCTGTATGAACCCTGTTTTTATTGAATTGTTTGTCATGGTTTATTCGTCATTGAGTGAAAGGGTTTAATGGCCTTTAAATAATATATCTGTTACACCACTGTTAAGGCATGCCTGTTCAGTACCAGCGGCCCAAACAAAGATAGAACATAATTATTGCCTTTTGTTTAAATGTCAGGCAAGCTCTGTGTGACTGAAGTGCAAACAAATCCCTAGATCAGGAACATGCTTTCTTTACAAAAAAGCATCTACTGAATTTCTTTAATTTGGTCATTACTAGCTTTATACTAACTTTCTCTACCTGAATACTAAACTCTGACCCTCTAACAACCCTGAGCTCACTCACATATCAATTTTGGTTTTGGTCTAAAATGGATTTACCTCTGATGCAGGCCATATAAACACACTGTACTCACTGTCTGTTTCTCACTGCAGGTATGATGAAGGCACCAGTCTCCTCTGCAGCTGGGATGCCTCCACCTGCAGCGCCCAGTCAGTACAATCCAAATGTCCAGCAGAACGGCGCACATCCACAAAGGTGAACATCTTCACTAAACAGCAACTGCATGGCTCTCTGAATTGTGCAAAAATGTCAGTTGAAGTACAGTACATGCAGCAAGATATTTACAAATGATGGATAATAAGAGGTTGAGTTAAAATGTAAAACAGCTTTAGGTTTTAAGCACATCAACAGACTGCACTGTACATGCTGTATATTAATAATAAATGCCCCTGTATTCCTCAGATACCCTCCACCAGCTGCTCCTGCTTCTTATGGACAGCCTTTACAGTCGCAGTACAACAACATGGCCCCCGCGGCCCCCCCTCCAGCTCAGCAGCTCACCAATCAGATGAGTACCATGAACCTGGGCAGCTATGGTAAGTTTGATATGAACTGTGTTACAGATCATACTGCTAAACATCAAGCAAATAACAGCACAGTACTCACCTGATGGGTTTTATTTTTTCCCATCTTTTTGTAGCCTCGGGTCCTATGCAGAGCCCCCCCCCCTCCAACAAACTCTGTTGCCCAGCAGCCTTTCCAACCAGCACCCCCTCCAGCAATGGGCCAGCCGATGATGCCACCAGGACCACAGTCCCCCCACATGTCCCCCATCATGTCTGCTCCACAGTCTCCCCAAGCAAACATGCCAATGGCAGGCCCCCCAATGGCAGGCCCCCCAATGGCCGGACCACCAATGGGAGGCCCCCCCATGTCAGGCATGGGTCGACCCTTTCCCGGCCCCCTTCCTCCAGGCCCCGGAGGTTTCCAGCAGCCTGGTCCTGGACCTGCTGGTCCAACTGGATACCCCCAGCAAGCAGGTACTGTGACACTGTGAAGCAGAAAAGGTTCAGACCATCAAATACGTTTTCCAAATGGATTTCACAGCTTCTAATCCCTGAGTCTTTAGTCAAGCCTTACCTAGTCTGTTGAGTGGCTCAAAAACTGACAACTTTTCTTACTTTGACAGAGTGTTTGCAGTTTTTATTCCATACCTGAGGTTATGATGCACAAATGATATTCACAATACAAGACAAATCACTCCCAGTTTTTGTAATCTTCCCTGCAACAGGAAGAAATCTCCTGCTTGACATACATAACATAACAACAGTTAATAGATAATAATTAGGTTTAGAAATCTGAATCTGTTTTCATGTGCAGGTCAGTTTGGGGGACACGTGGCAGGGCCTCAGCCTGGTATGATGGGGCCTCAGCCTGGTATGATGGGGCCTCAGCCTGGTATGATGGGGCCTCAGCCTGGTATGATGGGGCCTCAGCCTGGTATGATGGGGCCTCAGCCTGGTATGATGGGGCCTCAGCCTGGCATGATGGGGCCTCAGCCTGGCATGATGGGGCCTCAGCCTGGTATGATGGGGCCTCAGCCTGGCATGCCAGGTGCCTTCCCTGGATCAGCAGGCGGACTGGCAGGACCACCACAGAAGAAACTGGACCCTGACTCTATCCCCAGCACCGTGAGTACAACACTAATCCTCCTGGGACTGCATACCTTCACATAACGACATACACACATCACTGAACATTTTTTGACTTGAACCATTAGCTTAATCATTCCTCAAAAGGTTTACATAATCTCTTTTGGTAAAATGTATTCACATTTGGGCATATTAATCAAGCGGAAGAAAAAATAAACTTGATGCCGATTGCATTATTTTGATTGCCATGTACTTAAACTGTGACTGTGGAGAAATCAGATTATACTGAAAAGCATAGCATGTCTTCTTTAGACTCAAGTCATCGAGGATGACCAAGCAAAACGAGGGGGACAGGTGTACAACACGAACATCAGAGGACAGGTTCCCCCGCTGGTCACCACTGAGTTCCCCATACAGGACCAAGGTATCTCACAGTTCAACTTCTCTCCATTTACTTAATATTTGTATGATTTGTTTGTGTATACTTTTGCACATCTGTAGCGCGCTGTGGGTGTGCATCCATGTATTATAACTGTCTTAATATATATTATTTAAAAAATGTATTCTAAAATGTCTAAACATCATGTGTACATGTCAGTGATTTTACATTGGTCGTATGTACTTAGGCTTTTGCTAAAAATGTAGACTCTTTTGTTAAAGGCAAGTTAAACATGATTAAGTAGCACCAACACTAAGTAAGTTGTAACAGAAATGTGCTGTGTCAAAGTGTCAAAGTCATTGACCTTCTTTATGCTAATCTCAGGCAACGCCAGCCCCCGGTTCATCCGCTGCACCACCTACTCCCTGCCCTGCACCGCAGACCTGGCCAAACAGTGCCAAGTTCCGCTGGCCGCCATCATCAAACCTTTCGCCAGTGTGCCCAAGAATGAGGTAAGTCAGGTTTAACTTTTTCTAAGTCTAAAAAGTTCTAATAATCAACAATACTTTGTAACCTGCCATGTATACTGAAAGATTCAATAGATCCTTGTGGAATTGTTGTGAATAAGCACATTTAAGTCCAACTCTTGCAGGAAATGATAAATGCCAATTTTAAGTCATGTTCAGCAAATAGTTAAGGCCTTAATGTATGGTTTGTTTATTCTTTCCTATTTAGTTTTTTACATTTGAAAAAGGATTCAAACTGAGGGAAATGTTCTTGTTCTTTAATAGATGTCTCTGTGCACGACAAAAGTGAAGTTGTCCTGTGAATGACCTCCTTTTAGATCGTATGTGGTCCAAAAATCCCTCTGTAGAAACTCCCCCCCACACTCGCCATGTCTTATTAGCCTTTTTAGGAAATGTTAGCTTTCTCTCATCTGGCCAGAGGCTAATTAGCTCATGTCAGAACTACAGGGAGGGTTTGTACAACAGGAATCAATCTGAAGTATTTTGCACTCTCAGATTGAAATCCATCTATTCTAACATGGAGCATATTCACACAGCAATTATACCAACATTGTCAAACTTAATCAATGTTCTGAGTTTCGTTTTCTAACTTTAAAAGGATGCTGTTGTGTTTGGATGTTGTTTTCATTGTTTTGCCATGCAACAGGTTTTTCTTCTGCACGGTAAAAGCACGGAAAAATGTAAACACTTACTCTCCAGTCTAAAAATACACATTCATAACTTGCTCCTTTGTCAGCATGTGTTTTATTATAGTTGGGGGCATTTTTAGCCTGCAGGGACTCTTAAGTAAATATTGTTAACAGTCATGAGCAGGGCTGTGTACAGTACTCCATAACAGTGCTGTAGCATTAAACAGCTTCATGCTAGGAATTCACTTTGAACAAATGTTCTCTATATGGTAGTGCAACATGTCTTTTGTGGGTGCCATGGAGTCACTGATGCTTCAGACATTGCACAGAGGACATGGGGGTAATAGTAAATATTTGTATTGCACATGGGAAACCCTTCAAAAAAGACATAAACCATGATCCTTATCGTATTGCTTTTAAGGAAGAGTTTTTAAAACACAATGTCCTTATGTGATGTAGGAACAGCTGTTGAAAACTTAACTATAATGTGTTTGTGTGTGTGTGTAGACTCCTCTGTATGTTGTGAACCATGGTGAGACCGGCCCGATCCGCTGCAATCGATGCAAAGCCTACATGTGTCCCTACATGCAGTTTATTGACGGAGGGCGTCGCTTCCAGTGTGGCTTCTGCAACTGTGTCAATGAAGGTAGAGTACCATGCAAGCTACATCATTCTTAACATGTTAAGAAGACATAAGATTTCATATAATGAGCGAGAAACCAATCATATATAGCGCACAGTTCTGTTGTTAATTACATGTCTATGTCTTACTGTAGTGCCAGCCTTCTACTTCCAACATTTGGACCACATGGGCAGGAGGGTAGACTTCTACGAGAGGCCAGAGCTGTCCCTGGGCTCCTACGAGTTTGCAGCCACCCTGGACTACTGCAAGGTAAAGGACTACTACTGCTCTATTCACATCATGCAGAGGGGATATAGTTGATAGAAACACAACTTTGAATGAGATCAAAATCTGATCAAAACCATTCTGTTGTCAACTGATCTGTCATAACTGGTTACCGTAATTATGATCGCTAGTAAAATGTAAGCACATGTTCCACATGATGTTTTTAGGGTGCACATGCAAGGGCACTGGCAGTAACGTCACAGTGACACACAACATGCTTACAGTGTGGACGAGCACGAGTTATTGTTGTTTTGCAAACAATAGAAAGACAGCAAAGTCAATCAAGTGCACATCCCTTGAAGGCTGTGGTGGAGAAAAACAGAGTTGAGTACGCTGGCAGAGCTGAGTCACTCCCCTGGCCCACTTTACCTCTGTTTATTCAGACTTATAAACAGGGCGGCTCTGCAAGGTGATTGTCTTGTCATGGAGTGTAACTGTGGAAACATAACAATGTCTTCCTGACAATCCCCCTCACACACACACATACACTCATTGCCCTGCATTCAGGACCATCCACCGGTCATGGTCTCCTCACAGTTACTGTAAGGTATAAACAAGCACCAACGGAAACCAAATATCTGGGACTTACAGCCAATAAAGGGGGAAAGCATGAGGGTAGGCCCCAGGTTCTGATATGGTACGATTAAGACTTTAAATTAGAAAATATGGAACTAAAACAAGAAATAATTTTCAGGAGCTTAACTTTTCACATTTCCTATTTGGAAAGCAGGTACAGTACTGTATGTTAAGCTGCATGTCTGTCAAGTTTGCATGGGTTTTAAAATAGTTACTAATTATGTACTCCTGTTGCCTTCTCCTGCAGAACAACAAGGTTCAAAATCCTCCTGCCTTCCTCTTCATGATCGATGTGTCCTATAACAACGTTAAGAGTGGACTAGTCAAACTGATATGTGATGAGCTGAAGACTCTGCTGGACAATCTGCCATGGTACACACACACACACACACACACACACACACACACACACACACACACACACACACACACACACACACACACACACACACACACACACACACACACACACACACACACACACACACACACACACACACACACACACACACACACACACACACACACACACACACACACACACACACACACACACACACACACACACACACACACACACACACACACACACACACACACACACACAGAGAGAGAGAGAGTGAGTATCGGTTGAACGGGTGCCAAGGCTGGAAAATATTACAGTGCAGCCTTTACTCAGACAGAACATAGGAAGATTATCTTGGCAAAAAAGAAAATTCCCACCTGTCTGTGAGTCAAACACACGAGAGAAAACTATAGAGAACAGATTTCAAAATGGATTACTGGAATATTTGTCATTCTTACATCTTTTAAAGCAAAACAAGAAGCTTTGTTCTTCAGAAAACATTGTTCTCAGTGGAAAGCATTACAAGTTATATTTTGATTTATCGTTGAGAAGGGATGATGTACTTCACCTGGTGACTCCTAAAATAACTAGAAAACCTTCTTTCCTCACTCCTTCATGTGTGCCAGCAGCAATTTATCCACATTATTCTGCTGCCATGACATCATCCTGAAACACTTTAGTATAAGTGTACTGTAGATAAACCTTTTCAACTGTTTAAAGCTGTACTTTGTTTTTTACAGACACTAAATTAATGCATTTAGACAGACTGCATTTTTATAAAGTTCATGTGGTTCTGAAGAATTTCCAAATACAGATTTAATAGTCTCAAGATAACGCTAGATCCTTGCTTGAGTAAAGACAGATTTCTCATAAATCATCTCTGGTATGTTTCAGTAAGATTTGAGAAAGAAGGAAATACACAAAGCCAATCTATAATCAGTTATTTCTAACGACACCTGTGACTAATATTCATATAGAAAATGTAGGTTCAGTGGCATATTACCTTAAAAGGGTTTCATCTTTTATCATATTACACGTTCCTTAGTGTTAAAGTACGAGGATGATGAAAATATCTGGTCAAAGTTAGTGTCCTGTTGAATATGAGGAGGTTTATCTCTTATATATATATATATAAGAACATACAAAGTCCAGAGAGCAGTTACCTGAAAGCTGACTGATGTTCTTCTTCTCCCCCTCCAGTGAGGACGGCTCGGAGAGCTCCGCCATTAAGGTGGGCTTCGTCACCTACAACAAGGTGCTCCACTTCTACAACGTGAAGAGCGCTCTGGCCCAGCCGCAGATGATGGTGGTGTCGGACACAGCGGAGATGTTCGTCCCCCTGCTCGACGGATTCCTCGTCAACTATCAGGAATCCAGAGCCGTTATCTACAAGTAAGAAACATGTTATTTATTTAAGGAAGAACGTTTTATCTGGGAGAGAAACAGGCAGTTGTATGAAGTTTAATTCAACAAAGAAAAGTTGTGTTTATTATGGAGATTAACAAATCTTTTTGAAAGAGAAACAATGCATGAGAAAGACAAAATACTGATTCATTGTTAAGCTTTTAACTTCAACCAGACTTGTGAAGGTGTTTAACATAATCCTCTCCTCTCCTCTCCTCTAGCCTCCTGGATCAGATCCCTGATATGTTTGCAGACTCCAACGAGAGTGAGACAGTCTTTGTTCCCGTCATCCAGGCCGGCGTGGAGGCATTTAAGGTCAGCCCAGTGTGACAGCTGTCAACATGAAGTGCAGACTCTAGCTTTGCATGACGAATATTGTTCTAATGATCTAGAAACTTTCTGCTTTACAGACAAAATAACTGAACATTTCCAATCAGTGAAAGCATTACTAATCACTAACATTTGTGTTGTAATACTGTATGTTTGCATGACAGTATTATCATTCCTTATTTCATAATTGTAATCCTGCTAATTATCAGTATATGTAACAGTTCCCGGATTAAGCATTTTTTTCATGTATCTGTAACACGATACTGTTTTCTGATTCCGATTCTGTTACCGCCCCAAGCCTGCTGATCTTCAGGAAGTGACAGTCCAAAGGTCTTAAGCACAGTTGGGAGCTTCCTATCTGATAAGCCACATTTGATTAGCAACAGTGTTTTTCCATGTAACACGCTGATCCCATCATTTTTGTTCATTGTTAATCACTATACTAATGGGTTCAAATAACATGTAGTGGAGCCAAAACACACATCTCAGTGATCCAAACTGAATAAGCATGGCAGATTGTTTGAATGTTTCTGATATGTTTTTGTTTACTTTAAAGCTAACAAACTTTCCCAGTAATATGAGGTCAGTGTTTGGCGCACAGCGAAGGAAAAGTTCACACACAGCTTTTAATTGGAAGCAGTTGTGGCAACAGCAAAGAGACTGTGGCCTATTTATTTATCTGGGTACTGCTTTACCTTTTCGTTAAAGTGTATTATTATAAAGGGGGAATCTAATGCTCTGCAGGAGTGTGACCACATGGTAAAGATATGAGCTGCACACCTTCATGTGATCTTCTTTTAAAGATATTTCCTCTCTCCTGCAGGCAGCAGAGTGCAGCGGGAAGCTCTTCATCTTCCACTCCTCCATGCCCACCGCCGAGGCTCCGGGCAAACTGAAGAACAGGGACGACAAGAAGCTGGTGAACACCGACAAAGAGAAAGTAATGAACTTTTTGTAATCGTATTTAAAGTTGATTTTGAACTCCACATACAGACTGCTGGCAGTGAGTCAAATCAGCAAGAGTGGAGTCAGTTCGATGCTATCTTTGAGCTCGAAATTGGAAAGGGGAGTGCTGACTTACTGTTTTTTCCATAGACGTTGTTCCAGCCTCAGAAAGGAGTGTATGAGCAGCTGTCGAAGGAGTGTGTGGCGCAGGGCTGCTGTGTGGACCTCTTCCTCTTCCCTAGTCAGTACGTGGACGTGGCCACCATGGCTGACGTGCCCTCACACACCGGAGGCTCCGTCTACAAGTACAACAACTTCCAGGTACAACATTCAGCACTGAAAACACACAGATAAAACATGCAAGACACACAGAAGGGATATGGACTGCTTTGTACTTCATGTCATTCTCTAAGAATCATTTAAAGTTCCTAACTTTCCTTTAACGCTGGAACTTTATGAACTTACAAAAACAAACATCGAAAATCTACAGACTCAAAGACTCAAGCAATTTGACGCCTGCTTCAATTCACATAATAACTTCAGAGTCTATTATAGACCTGTCCCATAGGAATGCTGCATCAAGCGTGGGAAATTACTCCAAACTGTACACACACAGCACATACAGTACATACAAAGGCAGTACAGTGGTGTAAAGTAACTACACACATATACTTGTACCTTACTTTAATATTTTTCATTTCATGCTGCTATATACTTCTACACCATGTAAATCAACTAATACCTTCTGATGTATTATGATGGGTTAAGCATTCAGTCAATCATCTAAATTACATTTCTGTGACACAGGTTTTGTGAATATACTGCCATCTGCTGGTTAAAGTTTATCCACATGTAATATTTGATGCTTATGATCTGCATGTTGTCAGGTGGAGACGGATGGGGAGCATTTCCTGACAGACCTGAGGAAAGACGTGCAGAAGAGCATCGGGTTTGACGCCATCATGCGTGTTCGCACCAGCACAGGTGAGCAGCGTTTACCACTTTGCATTTGTACCAGAGTACTCAGTAACTCTCAGTAATCTACATCTACTGTACGTGTGTGTCTCCTCAGGGTTCCGAGCCACAGAGTTCTTCGGAGCGATCCACATGAACAACACCACAGACATCGAGATGGCGGCGGTGGATTGTGACAAGGCTCTGACCGTAGAGTTCAAACACGACGACACACTCAGCGAGGAGACCGGAGCACACATGCAGGTGTGTATCTTTTTAGAATAATCACAGTTTTGAAGTTAAATCTCAAAGGTTTGGTTATATCTAATGTTTGGACTGTGTTTCCCAGTGTGCATTGCTGTACACCACCATCAACGGACAACGACGTCTCCGCATCCACAACCTCAGTCTGAACTGCAGCTTGCAACTGTCAGAGCTGTACAAGAGCTGCGAGACCGACTCTCTCATCAACTTCTTCGCCAAATCAGGTGACTGAACACCTTTTAAGATCTTTCATTTAAAGGTTACACTTTCACAGATTTAGCCAAATGCAGAAAAACGTATCCCTCATGATATACAAGCAGATTCATTCTTTATCACACAGTGCTGATGTAATGCAGTATCATCCTCTCTGACCTTTGTTGAGTTTACCCCACTTGATAATCTACTAAAACTCCTGGATTTATAAGTAGAAGCGGGATGAGTTGTGGAAATAAGGAGCACATGTTTCACATAAAGCACAGCTGACACTGAGCCGCTTTAAGTACGGCCGTATTATTCCTGACCTTCAGCTGCCTCCTCTTTACATCTCCTTCTCTCCTCCGTTACACTCCCTCAGTTATCCTCGTTGCTATCTGGTCTTTTCACTAACCTCTTTTTCTCCTGCACTCAGCCTGCCGTGCCATACTGAACCAGCCGCTGAAGAACGTGCGGGAGATCCTGGTGAACCAGACGGCCCACATGCTGTCCTGCTACAGGAAGAACTGCGCCACCCCCTCAGCTGCCAGCCAGGTCAGGAGGAGGAAATGTGTTCAATTTAGGATCCAAAGACGTACTTATGTGGTACAATACATGTTGTGTCTGTGACAAAATAATGTGTCTCTCAGAAATTAATCAGAGTTTCTCCACATGCAGCTGATCCTGCCTGACGCCATGAAGGTGTTCCCGGTGTACATGAACAGCCTGATGAAGAGCGCTCCTCTGGTTGGCAGCACGGAGCTCTCCACCGACGACCGCGCCCACCAGAGGCTCTCCATCATGGCCATGGGGGTGGAGGACACACAGCTGCTGCTCTACCCACGCCTCACCCCACTGGTGAGGGACACAAACACACGTTAGATTAAGCTTACACTTCATCCTAAAAAAACAGCAATTCAACCATGAGGATATAAACTCAAGAGATCTATCAATAGCCATCAATACATGTAATCTAATAAACCTTTGTTTTCAGCACAACCTGGACGTGGGCAGCGAGGCTCTTCCCGCTCCGGTGCGATGCTCCGAGGAGCGCCTCTCAGAATCCGGCATGTTCCTGCTGGAGAACGGACAATCCATGTTCCTGTGGCTGGGCCAGGCCAGCCCTCCGGACATCGTGCAGAGCCTCTTCAACGTGCCCTCCCTGGCACACCTGCAGGGAAACATGGTCAGAGCTCATTTAACATAAACATATAGGAAGAAACTAATGAAATGGCTTCAGTGTTTCCCACAGATCTGAAATATACTTGTGGTGGTAGCCGAGAACGGGGGGGGGGTGGGAGAGCACGCTCATGAACTGTAGGCCGGAGCCTCGCAGCGGAGTGACTGCGGTGCGCATGAAGCAGACCCTTCACGCGATAGCAGAGTGAACAGGTACAGACGGGGTAGTTAATCGATCACAGATGGCGTCATGCTCGCGGACGGATCAAAAACAATTCAAACCTAAATGGGTCGCGAAATATACTTTGGCGGACGTTAATATACCCGGGCGGCCCGCCCTAAGTAAAGTCTATGTGTGGGAAACCCTGGGCATGTTTTAGATGTTAGGGGAGACATTTTTTAAATGTTGTGGTGTCTGGTGAGAATGTGATGATGCCTCGACATTACAAGTTTGCATTTAAATGATTCAATAATCTACAAAGATTGAAATCATAATAACATTTCAACATCTTATCATGATTTGATCCAATATGATTTATATTAAGCATCCAAGTAGTTGATCAACTATGCACGTTTTTCTAAAAATAGCCAACAATATTTGTATTGATAACGTATACCTTACACAAAGTTTAAAGAAGGACATTCATTTTGAAGTTAGTAAGAAAGGAAGCAAAAATGTTTCAAAGGTGGCAGACATTTTTTGTTTTAAAAAAAAAAAGGAACTTACATTTTTGTATTAATCCGTTTGCTTCTCATCCTCATATGAAAACATCTCTATCCATTTTCCTGGACACCCTCAATTATTATACATGTGTTGACTTATTCAACTTATAAACGTCTTATTTTTCACTTAAATAACCTTATTGTCCTTCCTCAGAGTGCTCTGCCAGAGCTGGACAACCCGCTGTCCGCAAAGGTCCGCTCCATCATCAGCGGCCTGATGGAGAAGAGGCCGAACTCTATGAAGGTAATATACTCAATATGCTCCCAAAAACTCCTGATAAATCATGCATACCTCTTCTTTGAGTATATTTTGTAAGCTAAGAAAATGTAAGCAAATTAAAGCCAGCTGTTATTGATCCGTGTCTCCCTCCAGTGGAAATAGTAGGTAACTACGTTCTACAACAACAATACCCTTTAATTATATATAATGTGTTTTCATGTTGTAATAAAAGTTCTCAAGAATGCTAATCCTATTATTTTAGAAATAGACAGACTAAACAAGATTTTTTTATTTAAAACATGTGTGAGTGGCTGAGTACCTTTTTAAAGCACGAGGATCAAAGTGCACATGAATCACAGCTATTAAAATGCTAAATGTTTCCCCTCTCAGCTGCAGATCGTGCGGCAGAAGGACAAACCGGAGATGTTGTTCCGTCAGTTCCTGGTGGAGGATAAGAGTCTGCACGGAGGAGCCTCCTACATGGACTTCCTGTGCTACGTCCACCGAGAGATCAGGCTGCTGCTCACTTAACACCCCCGTCTGCCGGACACACACACACACCTCACAGGGTCAGTTCATAAAGGACAGTTTTACAAAGACAGAGGAAGACACCCGAGCCAGCTAGAGCCAAAGCTGCCTTTCCAACGTAGTGTACTTAAAGTATGACCTTCAAATAACCACTCGTCACTTGAGGATCTACGATACACAGCACAGCCAGTGACACTTGTTGTGATGGAGTGTGGAGATCAGAGCGTTGGCATTAAGCAATACAGCATTGATCTCCACTGTTTCACATTTCACTTTGTCGATTTACAGGATCAGGACGAGGGGTTATTTTTAGGCAATACTGCTCACTTTGAAACTCGCCAGTCTCTGTTTTACGTGACTTTCTCCCATATAAAGACTGAATATGTAATCGTTTTTAAATCTTGTTCTCTTTTTTAAATATAAATACATGCTCAAAGAAATTTTACAATATTTAAAACGTCTTATAGAGGGTTCTACATGTTATCACACTTATAGTGTCCTAGTGTCAATGTGCTAAGTAAACATATACGAAAAATGTTATAATTTAAACCGTAACGCTGCTGATGAATGATTCCTGTCATTACACACGCCTTCCCTTTGAAACATATGAGCATTTCTGACCATTTAAAGCAAAGACCTGATCCTCTCAATGAACACAGTTGTCGTTCTGCTGAGAGAACATCGTTGGTCCTGATGAAAAACACGCTTCTTTTTGAGTCAGAACTTGAACAAAAAAAAAGGATGCTTAAGGGAAAGGACTGCCAAAGGTTTAGGGACCAAAGAATACAACTGTCACAACTATATAACGAAAGATAAAGATCTGCTCTCTTGTTGGGAGGGATTTATTTTGAGGATACTTTTCAGATACCTTCGAAGATTCCACAACATGAAAACGGTGCCATATAATAAATCTGACTTGTGCCAAAATTGTCAGGACAATAAAGTTATTGGTTACTTTCAGACATGGCTGCAACTAATGATGATTTACATTAATTCATCTGCTGATTATTTTTAAAACAAATTATTATTATAAAATGTCAGAAAATACTGAAAAATGTCCATTCCAGTTCCTCAAAACAAGGTATTTAAAGACATTACCTTGGACTTTGTCAGTCGGTTTAATATATATAAAACAAACACGAAACAATTATCAGTTAATCTCCATATTCAGAGGCAGAAAACTGCATTTTTTTGACATTTTTGAATTAAAACATCAACAACAAACAGAGGTTTATAGTAATAGTTTGCGTTTATTTTTCTGTCAAATGTCTAATCGTTGCAGCTCTAATGTCAGATCAGCATCTTTTTTGTCAGCCCTTATGTCTAAAAAAAGTCCAAATTCAGTAAAATATTTGTACACCTGTCTGTTATAATGATTTGTAACGTTTCTGGTACAGCATTAGCATCTTTCTGTTTTGCATCGATTGTTTTTATGGAGGTAATCGCCTCTGTGTAATTCATGTATGCATTTGATAAATATTCTACGATTTTGTTTGTGTGTGGCCTACAAAGTCTTTTTGTACTTGAAATACTTTCAAAATGTAACCATCTGCCTTAAGTTGCTATTATAATATTTGTTAAAACATGTTGAATATATAAATATATATGTGTCCTCGAGGTCTATGGCTGATTTCAATCTCTTTGGTTTGTATGCAAACTTATCTCAGGTAATTGAGTACCTTAATATTTGGAGTTGGACGAAGTGATTTTAATAACTGGAAAGATGGACGGTTGTTGTTTTGAGTTGATGTTTGGACCTTCATGGGCTTTGGGTGCCATGTGTATTTTATTCCAGACCCTCAACCAATTTTGTCCGAATAAATTCTTGACATATCTGCTCCGCTTTCTTTTGTGCCTTGTACAGTCCGGGAAATTAACAGAATTTATATTTTACCACACAAAAAACCTTCTGAAGTATATGTAGTTTCCAAAGAAAATATGTTTAATATTAAAGTTTGAAGGTTAGTTATAAATAGCTACATTAATTTGTCACTTCTAGAGAGAAATTACCCACACAGAATTCAAGATCCACTGTGTGTGTTGAGCTCTTTCTACCATGAGGGGGCGCCAGATCACTATTCATGCATTTTGATCAACAATCTGATCTGTTTATGTTGGACAATAAAACTTATTTTGACCATTATGGTGAACAGAATCTGGTTTCTCATGCAATATGAGATATTAAAAATATATATAACTCTTGCAAACGTGGAACTTCAATTGTTCTAAAATCTAAAAGTAAAATCCGTTGTTAGGTACCTGTTCTGCCATCACGGAAAAATTGTTTTAAATATATTTATATACAAATGATCCAAAATGTGAATCACATAATTTAATATCTAAAAATAATGTGTACAGTTGACAGTACTTTAAATCATCCTCCTAATATGTTTACCATATATCACAATCTTATAATAGCACACAAAATTGGTTTACGCAACATGTTCTATTCTTCGAAGTGAATTAAGGAATTTAACAGAAATGTGAAGGTTTGAGGTTTATAGTTTATTTTTTCACTTTCGTCAGAGATAACTGACTATGGATATTATTTACAGAAGAAATGTAGAAACTCTTTATTATTTTCAGAAAGAAAATATCTACATATTGTAGATATGTTGTGTAATGTTCAAACAAACATTTGTTTCCTCTCCATTTTATCACTTACTTTTCATAACCAGATCTCTGATTTGTCAACCAAACAGAAACATTTTTACAAACAGTAAGGCACACAAACACAAATCAAGGAACATCATGGCATTTTGTTGATGGAAATATACACGTGATGTCCAATAACATGAGTAAAAAGAACACAAGTGTGCCGTACTCTTCACTAAACTAAAGTCCAACATGCCTCACTGAGCAAATGTAATGTTTGTCACATACTGTTTCAACACTTTGAATAAAAAAACAACAACTTCCGGCTGATTTTACAGACACTTCCTGTATCCAAATCATTGTGAAAAATTAAGAAACATTCAATAATTTACTTGCATGATGTCCTCTCTTCATTCAGTAGTTTCTAACAAGCAACACGAAGTCAGCAAGAGACTTTTACCCAGCATGCTTTGTGTTTGCTCACATGCTTTAATCAGAGGAAACAGAAAGTGATCACCTGCACTTTGACGAGGAGGAAACACACCCAAGCATGATGAGTATAATACACAGGACCCCTCTTCTTTTTAAAAACAGTGAATTATGAATAAGTCCTGAAATCCACCCCAGAGAAAACGTTCATTTAATAATATACAACCAACAATCTTTTGTACAATAATACCTTAATATAAATAACCTGCTTTAAACAGTGGACAAAATAAAAACAAGTTGATGTAGTCTGTTGCTTTACAGGGAATATTCGTACACTGGGTTAAATGAAACACACTGAAAGCAGCATTTATGTCATGACGGAAGATGTCGTTGTCTTAAAGTTAAACTGGCGGTAAATATAGCTACCTGTGTGCTTCTGTAGACAAACCATCAGTGGTATGGTTTGTGACATCAATACAATCCTTGTGTTGTCTCATTCTAGTTGGCAAGTAAACATGAACCGTTGAAAAGTTTCTCATAGAGTTCTTATCTAATGCTTTATCTATAGTATTTACAATTTAAAATAGTACAATGGATGTTGTTTTCTTATTTAAATGCAAAAAGACGATTATTCACTAAGTCGGGTGAGAACACTCTGGAAAGGAGAGCCAGTCAAGAGATCATATGTTCAGGTGTTTTGGATTGATGCTATAAAAGTAGAGCTGCAACAGTTAGTTGATTGACAAAAAAATTATTATCAACTATTTTGATATTTTACTAATTGTTAAGGTCATTTTTCGTGCGTTTTTCAGTCTTTAAGGACTTGGACTTTAAGCTAATATTTTTTATATTTTAAAGACCAAATCATCCTTAGTAAAAAGTCACAGTGATTTCACTTGGCAGTAAATGAAACAAGTCAAGGCTGCAGCAGAAAGAAGCCTGCTCTTCATCCCAGATCTCTCCCCGGGTGTTTATAATGTCAGAGACACTCCAGAGACTATTGGAGGCAAACCAACCTTGAAGTAAAATACTTTCTACTTTCCTTTCAATTCGTGTTTATGTAACAAAGTTTATGAAAAATAAAATGTTCAAAAGGCAGCCCGTTCCAGAGTGTCCGCACCATATTGCCTCCTCCTCACAGCAATATGAATGAACAATATCATATCTTTCATCAGAGGTCTGCATAGCACACTGTACACAGTTACAGTCCGAGTCAAGGTGACGTTCTCCTCCAAAGCCTCCACCGCCCCCGCCAGCCAAGAGTTAAAGAACGTTTTCAAAGAGGTGCATCGATCGCATGATGTTCTCATCCTGCACACAGAGAGGAAACACCGTGAGGAGAAAAGGAAAGAGTGACACCAGGAGAGAGACAGAAAGGATTCAGGACGTCCAGCTTACGTTTTGGCAGCAGTCGATGAACTCGTCGATGGTTACCACCCCGTCTTTGTTCTTATCCATCTTCTGTTAAAGAGAAGGAGAGAGGAGAGGTGAGAGGAGGTCTCTTTACTGTGATCGACAGTTCGAGAAACACTTGCCTGAAAGAAGATTTCGACATGCTGCCGAGGCGTCTCCTCTCTGAGGACGGGGTACGTGCATTTTCCCATCATGTCGTAGATGGCCTTCATGATGTCTAGCATTTCCTGCAACACACGAAAAGGGTCAGGTTACCAAAATAAAATCAGAATCAGATATCCTTTATCTGTTGCACATCGGGGACATTTACATTGGGACCACAAAAAGAGTAGACTATTAACGTTTGTTACACCTGGGGAGCTGTAAAGATTATTTAGATTTGATGTTCTTGAGATTTTGAGGTAAAGAAGCTTCTACTGCTGCTTAAAAGTACCATTGTAGGCTGAACAATTATACATTATTTATCTATGATAGGGGGTAATATTTGAGAAAAAACACAGTTTACATCCATGAGGAATAAACTCACAAATTCAAAGAAAAAAAAAGTGGAATATTCTGTGAGATGGACCTCATAATCACTGATGATCTTCAGGTTTCTTCTTGTAAATGTACCACTTAAATAAATAGAACAAAGTCATGTATATCTTAGAAATAAAGAGTTTTTCTCTTAGAATAAACAATGGCCAATTAAGGTGAATACCATTTCTAATGAGTTCAAAGATATGAAAAATGACATCCACAGACCTCCCTGTTAACAGCTTTTAATGAAATGACTTTCAAAAGTGGTTAAAAGTGTTAACACAAACGGTATACTGTAAGATATGTGGGTGTTTTAAGTATGAAGGGACATACCTCCTTAGTGATGTATCCGTCTTTGTTAATATCATACAGGTTGAAAGCCCAGTTGAGTTTTTCCTGGATGGACCCTCGCAGGAGGATAGAGAGACCCATCACAAAATCCTGCAGAGAGAACAAGACTCACTGAGAAATATACAACATATTGATATTTAAAAAACAGCTTTATGCTTCTCCTATGAGATAAACAAATCATCAAGTAACAATATTACATTTCAGCTAACATTTCTGCAGGATGTTAAGTCAGGATATATGAGAGGAACATGATGAAGCAGCAAATAAATCACCAACACCTCTTTATTCCAGTTATTAACAATCTCATAATGAACTGCACATTAGATTAGAAGAAGGCTTTGTTGTTCTTATAAGCAGAAATCTGCTCTTGGTGTGCGTTAACAGACTCGGGCTCATTTACAAACCGACCTGCATGTTACACAATGCCCATGAGGAGGTTTAAGTGATGGACACGTTCAGTACTGCAGTCATTGATATGAAGCATACTGTAGTTTCTTTATTTTAGGAATAGAAATATCATAATACCCACCTCAAAACTCACAGAGCCGTTGTGATCTGTGTCGAATGCGTTGAATAGGAAGTGGGCATATGTTGAAGCATCTACGGAGAGAACAAACATGAAATCAGAAAAAAACTGTAATTACAGAAACATCTGCTGCACACACAGAAAACAGCTCAACGGAAACTTTTGTGGACAACTTCAAAGAATCACAATGTATTTTCTTTTATGATGAGAGAGGAAAAAAGTGCTTCCAGCATAGAGTTAATCGCTCTTCTTCTCTGTGAACAGATATATCAAAGCCTCCTAATGTCTCCCTCTTGTTACTCGGGAACCATCTTTGCATAATGATGAGCTCCAGCCTGCAAATACAAAACACTCCGTGCCTCTCTATCACAGTTTTCTTGGAAAGGAAGTACAGTTGTAATAACATGACTGAGGGCTCACGTGACACAAACCTCCTTGAGGGAAGAACTGAGCGTAGATGTCTTTAAAAGTTTCCTCGTTGACGACTCCACTGGGACATTCCTGAAAGACAGAGAGGAGATGCACGTTTAAGACTCGCTTATTTATTCAAGTCTTTCAATCTGAGTTTAACGCGTGCCGATCATGGTGACGTGCGACTGAAACCTCACTTCACTGAACAGTCCATTTTTAGGAGCACACGTCTTGCATACAGCGGTTCAACTTTTAAGATACATAAGGGTAAATGTTATAAGAACTTTAAATCAGTTTTTTGAACCCGAAAAACTAAATAGCCATGAAAGAAACATGAAGGGAAGAAATATGCACTTTTGTGAGAACTTGCAAACTTTTTAATAAGCTACGATGAGACCACACATGTGACAACAATTAACCTACTGTAAAGCCCTTCTGCCAGATCTTAACCAAACTAAAGCCAGCCTTACAATGTGGTCCAAACATTACTTTTGAATTTATTATTAGATCACAATATTTTAAAACAACTTAATGTCAAATGTGTTGAGTGCTAGCCAGTGGCGCAAGTGTTACAGAGTGATCTCAAAATGTTGCAGAAGTAAAAAAAGGATTCCAATAAAGGTGTTTTGGGGATTTTAACCTTTGCAGACCATTTACATGCACCAAAACCTATATAACACACTAAAGGAAAGGAAAAGCCCCAAAAGCAACATTGGCCCCTTTAACAGCAGCTGCAAATGTAATCTTTCTGACCTCTTTTGATTAAACACATGTCAGCATTTCAGTGTGTCTTATAAATGAACTGCTGGTTCATCTCTGGATCATTTCATCTAACTCTCTATTGAGGACTTTTCTTTTCTAGACCTCCACAGTCCTGCAGAATCTGAAAGATAAAAGCCAGACCATCAAAGCTTCCACAGAAATCTGGTCCTGTTATTCAGAGTCCCTGCTGAGGCAGCTTTCAGTAGAGAAGTCTGAATACTCTTACATAACTGCTGCAAGAGGGAGTCTTTGTCTCCTTTGAAAGAGAAGAGCCACACACTCAGGTCATAAAGCTTCTTCTACAGGTTCAATGTCTTCAGTGATGCTGCACACTGTGGCAGGATATTGGATCTTTGGGGCGAGAAGACGTTATGCAGCTGTAACGAGGGTTGTCTGGAAGGGGAGGCAGATGTGCGTCTGGGTTTTTGTATACAAAAGGAAATCAAAGATAAGGAACAAACTGTATGGAGGGAAACAATAATATGAACATCTCTCTGATACAAAAGACGTCACTTTGTTCAGGAGAGTTTTGGGCTCCATTTCTTTTCTTTGAGACAAACCGTTTCCTCATTTTGACCCAGTAAGAGTCTTCCTGCTTCCTGTGACCTTGTTTGATCAGAAACACAATGGACACAAAGATGAGACCTTATTGTCTTGCTTCAAAACCGACTCCTTGTGTTTCAAACTAGAGTTTTGTCTGCACGCCACCCCCCCCCCCCCGACACTCTACTTCTTCTCCTGTCTCACAGACCCAGATACATATTTTGTGAGGTGAGTTTATCGGCCCTGATTTAATGAAGTCTCAGAGAGTCTGTGTGAGTTCACTTCAACTAGCGTATAAATCTAAATGAAGCAGCGTGAGGAGAACTACTTTACATTTGATGAAGCATAGGAATAATTAAAATATACCCAGGGGAAATGGAATTAGTTACAGTTGCTACATTTGAGAATAACATAAATCTCACAGACAGATGACGGTATGTTGTTTCCTTAATGCTGATGAGTTTGATTAGAAGATTGATTCAAAGAAGCAAGTATTTCTCAACATGCTTCAGTTTACTAAACAATTTGGAGAAAACCTTGAGCATGTTTGTACTTCTGACACATGTATTGGTTGTTTGTGGAGCTTCTGTTCATTAAAGCAGTGTTTATGTTCTGCAGTACATGGGCTGTCAGCAGTCAACCTGTGCAGAGAGATGTCATGTAATTAAGTACTTAGAGAAAGGAGGGGGAGGTTTTTCTAACATGTAATTTAATGTGTGTGAGTGTGTGTGTAAACAGATGGGTAATTTTAGCTGTCAACACTAATAGCACACTGATTAAGAAGGTCACAAAATGGCTGCTTCTTCTTCTTCTTCTTCTTCCTCACACACCTGAAGGAGAAGTAAAGGTCAGTAAAAACTTTGTGATGAAGTCCCACACCGACGGAGTTCATCCGATTGTGTTTTATCGTCTCTCCTCAGCCTCAGGATGACACAGTTATTGGATTTAGAATGTGTTTTATCTAGTTATCATCACGTACAATGCACAAGCTCTGCAGTTCAATTTAAAGTTCAGTCAAATAGTTTCTTCACACCTGAGCTGCCTTCAGGTCCCATCGGGATAAACTTTGATGTCGCAGAGCTAAAAGTCAGGGCCTCACTCACTCTCTACCCGATAATATATATATATTTGGTCATTTATAAAGCGCTATAAAAATCCAATTTATTATTATTATTATTATTATAGTGCCTCAGCGTACATTTCTTAACATGCATGGTACATAAAAGTTAATTTATTCTTATTTACTCCTGTATCTTATCTCTAGTTTTTCACATATTTGTTTACCTCTAAATCCAAACTGAAATCATGCGTAAAAGTAGTGTGTTGTGTCGAATCAAATTTTCCCCTTGCCTTTGTATGTTGTAAAATTTCACACATTATTATTTGACAATCTAATTAGGGAGAGTGAGGGGTCAGAAAACGTATTGGTATCCATTTGATATGCTTGTGTAATCAGCTCATCCGTGATAATGAAATCACAAATACAATCTGTGAAATGCAAAGCCGGCTAGGCATGAAATTCCTTTCTGAGACTGGTGAAGCGGCAGTAAGGTCTGTGGGGAATAAAATAAAAACGTGCGAACAGACGCCGATGGAATCAAAACAGAGATCTTAATCTGATTCCCGAGGCCGTGTCCCGGACTGTGAACTGTGAAAGCCCCGCCAGACGTGAGGACAATATTGTGTAATATCCTGTAGTGTGAACTCAAAGATTTCTCTACCTTCAAGAATGAAATCCATCCTTAAGAGCAGGACCTATACAAGACAAAGCTCCACTCTTGAAGCCTCTTAACGTTTGTTGTCGAGACAATTGACCTCCTCCTGCCACCCACAGGCTTTTGATCAGCTCGGAAACCCTGCACAACAAGGACGAAGGGGCCTCACGGGAACAAAGCCAGCTCTGATTAGTCTGTCCGGACCTTAAGAGCTCTGCCAAAGTCACAGAGTTGGAGCAAGTCAGAGACGAGTGTTTGACCCTGACAGTTAAAAATGGTCTTTGGACGACGGACAAAAGCTATTTAGTAGCTTCAAGTGCCATGACTAGCTCTCTGGGTCTAATCTTGACTTTGGAGTCAACAACAACATCTGTCTAATTACACAGCAGTGATGAGTGACAAACAAAGAGATGTGTGTGCACGGGCCTTTCACTGAAGCCATTTGTTTTTGACACGGAAGGTTGGAGCTTTGTACCACCAGACCTTGAAGAGACATTTCTAGGCACCAAACACAAACTGAAAGGGCTTAAGTTAAACGAAAACACAAACAATGATGTAGTAGCAACCTGTCGATCACTATGTATCCCAGCCCTAAATCATACGCTGCTTTATCGTCTATTTGACTTTAAGTTGGACCATAAGTTAGTGAACAATAATCACCATTTTGTATTTAAGGGGACTAAAACAAGATATTGATACCACAGAGTAGACTCATCAGGGACATATTTACTTACTGTAGGTAATAAATGAATTGAGTTATGTTCTCATAGACTCTATTGTACTGGAAACATTATAAGGCTGACTCAATGGTTGCGCTAGGTGAAAAATCAAGGAACAACCAGCATGATTGCAATTTATCATGAGGGTAACGTGAGTGTTTGCACAACATTTTGTAGCAATCCATCTAAATGTTGAGATATTCATAACTGAACGGAAGTGGTGATCTAATGGATGAACAGGAAAATAATGTTTAAAATAATGTAAAGAACCTTGGAGGGTTCCTATAAACATGCACGATTCACTTTCTCAGTGTTAACGGAAGCATGGCAGAGTGAGCAGCACATTTAAAGGCCTCATTAGTGCACTTCTTACCTCTCAATGTGTCTCAAGTGGAAGGGACTAATGGCTGGAGCACAGTGCAGACTCAACAGGAAGCTGAAGCCCAGTGGGGGGGGGGGGGGGGGGGACGACGACGACGACTCTATCACAGGACTCTCACTCTTTCTCTTTCAATGCCAGACATTTTGGGTTGAGTTAATTCTGGGTCATCTCATTACGCCTCACAGCAGAGGTGACGGAGAGGGGAGGAGGTTTTATACGAGCTGCTCCGGAGGACTCTGAACTGATTGCTCATCAGTAACAACGTGTCGCAGGTACCAGCTAATTATCCTCAACATGGGATTTCATTCTCGTCGTAAGCACACCGCTTGATAGTGTTGGGATGAAGATGATTCAGCAAAAATAGCATTTATCAGAGAGTTGACTTTTATTATTGAAAGGAATAGATTCAACTCCTGTCAACTACAGCAGGATATAAAAAAAGAATCAATTGTTATGATCCGTATTAGTTTTCCCTGTTTTATTTTTTCCCGTCAAGATCTGTCTTTGGTTTCCTGTTTTATTTTGAAAAGTGTTCACCCCCTCCCTCTTCCCTCCCCACCTGTGTCTTGTTCGTGTGATTAGTCTTGTGTGCATTTAAGTTCTGTTTTTTCTTTCAGTCTTTGTGAGAGTCTTGCTGTTGTTGGACGGATTTAGTTTCTGAACGAGTTTATGGTTTGCCTTGCTTTGTTTTACTTTGTTCGCCTGGCCTATTCCACAAATACAGGAATTTGATTTCAACCAAAAATAGGAAATAAAGCCCACTGCGCTTCACAATACGTGGCTTCCCGTCACTCACGTTTTTGAAGCCGCGGTAAAGGATCTGCAGCTCCTTCCGGGAGAACCGCGTCTGGGCTTCAAGCTGCTCCAGGCCCTCGGGGCGATGGCGGACTGTCGACAGTTCAAGCTCATCTTCAACGCTGTCTGCAGAGGAAGAGGAGGAGGGTCAGATGTGCACAGATGCTACAGAGTCTGCTGCAAATGAGCGTGCTTAAAGCTATAGTTTGAGATTTCAATATCAGCAACAGCTCAGAAAATAAACAGATATATGCAACTTTTTCACATTTTGGCTTTTAATAGTGACACACTATAAAACCTTGTCAACAAAATAAAGTGATTCCTATTTGTATTTAATTCAGTTCCTTTTATTCACAAAACTGTTTAAAAAAACAATCATAAGAACAATTATTATGTGACCCTAATAAACTATGCAAACATTATAATAGATGTAATAAACACATCAGAAGGAAAACAATGGCATCAATTAAATGCATTTCAGTTGTTGAATGGTATCGAGTACTTTTATTTGCAAATGTTACTTCACTTCAAACAAAAAGCTCCTTCTTCTCTTCACTAAATGCAGAGATAATTAGTGTTATTGATGCCCCCGAGCACTTCCTCTTCATGAACCCTGTGAAACTTTTTAATGGGCTGTAATGAAGGCAGCTGCTGTCAGAGACCACACCGTCCTCTCAGCGCAGAGTTTGAATCCTTCCGATGTTGCAGGGTCTCTCAAACACCTGATGGGAGACACAGACCCTGAACGCCTCATTAGCTTCTGCTGTGGCACAAAACCAAAGAGCCCCCTCATCTAACTGACCACCATTAACCTGCTGATGTGGAGCTAATGCTTGGTATTCATAGGTGAGGTGAAGGGATATTATGTCAAGAAATAAAACAGCAGCTTAATCTCATTAAAATTAGTCCAGAATGTAGACGTATAGCTGCAGATTTTAACAGATAAGAATAACAGATTTTTATTACGTGAGTAACGCTGTATTTAAAATAGCTTTTTCTGAGAAACAAATGATGGTTTGGCTTCAATAAGTATGCTTGTTACAGTTATGGGTGTGAATATAAACATGGTACGTGGACTTGAAAAATGTTGTTAAACACAAAAAAATTGAAACAACATTTATTTGAAAGAAATAGATCATGCTTTGGCTTGAAATACATATGTGTGTTCGTTTATATAAGTTATGGCCACAACTAAATCATGTTATAGTGGGTTTTGATTTCACAGTAACAGCTGTATTCTGGGTTAAAGTAAAAAAAATGACCTTAACCTTAAACGGGATGAATATGATGAAAGTATTCTACAAAATGCCACATTTATTTTTTCAATCGTGAAAAAATAAGTGTAGAAAAACACTGACAAAACAGTCTAATCTGAAAAACAAATATCACATCGACGTATTCAACATCCATTCTTTTTACTCATTCAACTTCAAAACCCAAAACGTCCTTCATTTGAATAGTCAAATTGATTTCAGACTAAATCCTTGATGTTTGTAGGAAAAGCATCTTAAACCACAACAAACATCAGCACAGAGAGCCTTGTAGACTTGCTTTGAGAGCTGGAAGACGACTTTTTGGCTGCGGAGCACAGGAAGAGCCTCATGATTCGAGCTCTCACCCCCGGCCTGTCGACAATCTGAGGGTACCCTGAAATACAGGTAGGCTTACGGTTACCCAGGCAACCAACAGCCTCAGAACTTAACACGAGGACGCTGGACATGCAAGAGGAGAGGGTCTGATAGAGTGGTGCAGGGATGTCGTATTTCTGAAGTGGATCCTGAAAGGCAGCATTTCCCAGGTTTCCAAAACCATTGCCATCCAGACAAGGGGACAGGAGGTGGTAAAATGTCCCGGGTTTATGACTCATTCCTGCAACACTCTATAAAGGTCATCTAGACATCAGGCTGCATCACTGCTAGCTCGTCAGGACAACAACACTGTTAGTTTAAAAGCACTGAATGTGGTTATATTTGAAAATAAGTGCGGGATGAGTTCCCTTTCTAGTTTTTTTGTGTGCATCTACATGTAAACCTACAGCAGCTAAACTCAGTCATAAGCAGTATATTAACTTACATTACTTATTAAAAGTCTCCCAACAAATTGTAATGTACTAATCTGAACTCATTTCCCAGGTTAGAGTGTAATGTGACAGCTCATTAGGTGTCGACTTTTCACACAGTCAAGCATGCACCTGAGCAAAAGTGTGGTTTACTTTGTGTCGCTCAAACTAAAGAAGCTTGATTGGTAAACTAAAGCGGTCTGTCCGAGGTTTAATTAATGACCACAACACACAGACTCTTATGTTCTGTGCTCTGTGATTATGAAAGTCATTAAGAAGTTCAACACCTTGCCTACAGTCTGCAGTCGATCACAGCAAACCTGAATAATAAAATGTCCTCGCAGGTGAGAGTTATAGCTGAGACAGAGCTAGTCAATTAAAGTCAATATGGCAGGTGGGAGTTTTACGAGGACTTTATAGATCTGGGCTATAGTATAAGGACATAGTGGGTATAATGACATCATCAAGCTGGTCTGGCAATATCATGGAGGTCGAGAGGAGAATAATCTGAAGATTAACGGTATCTCTGTAAGGTTGAGTGAGTTTGTCAGGATGTCTGCATGCTTTATCTACCAGGTAAATGTCTTTTGAGATCATTCTCAGTAAAGAGGCAGAATGCACGCGACCTTAAGACATTATTTTATATATTTCAGCCCTAGCCAAAGTATACAATAACCAACATTAGGGAGCGAGTTGATTCTGCTAAAGCCTCACAGTCAGAACAGGTCATATTGCCCTTTTTAAGGACACAATTACGTTGAGATTTAGAGGTGAAGCTCCCATCTGTTACCTGCCTGACACACACCTTCCTGAGTGGTGGGGGTGGGGGTGTCTGAGTGAGAGCATGAACTAGAAAGATGTTTTGTTACAAAGTGATATTGTCCTTAAAGAGAACTTTATACAGAGACATCTTTTCTAGCTGTGAGCTCAAGGACAATGTTGCATGCATCAGTATATTTGTCTACACCTGAACAATGTCTGCCTGAAACGACCTGTCCTTTAACTAATAGGAAGAATGACTGTTGGTGAAAAGCTAAAAGAACATGAAGGCAATACAATTTTTTTTAATAAATAAAGCGGAGTTTGAGTGACACAGAGTTTAATCAGGCAGGAAAAGAGCATGCAGTCATATAGCTGTCTGATCAATGTCTGCCCTTTGAGTTTATTGACTAAATGGATCTGACGCTTGAGTGTGTGTGTGTGTGTGTGTGTGTGGTGTGTGTGTGTGTGTGTTAATGTAAAGAGCAGCTCTGGCAGGCTCTGGCGACATTACCCACAAATGTCAAAAGGTTACGATTTTCCTGGAAAACAAAAATGGATGTTGTTGTCCTGAAGAATCACGTACAGTATATCAACATGGAGGATTCTGCAAACATTTGTACTGATGCAGTCGGGACGTGCACACAAAGTCATGCCATACTTTTTGCCTTCCTCGAAAGATAATCATATTGCATCTCATCAGAAATGTCATTTATAATATCCATCTCCGAGTAACAAAGCTGTCTCTGCCTGCAGCAACAGAAGATAATATGATTGAACGCCTTACACGGGTTATAAACAAAGACAAATGCTTCAGCAAAATATAATTACCTTGAGAAATAGCGTAAATAAAGCCGTAAAATGGTCTGCTGCACAGTATCTTTTTACTCAATGAGCTGACAAAGACGCAAAGATACTGACAAATGAACATGAGAAAATCACCCGACAAAATGTTTAAGTTGATCAATCATCAACAATCCTTCAAGAGATTCATCTCAAAGTCAGGCTGGAGGGGAAAACCTTAATCAATTGATCCATGAACCGGAGAAGAGTGGCTATTAAATATTTGATAAATCCATACCAATGCGCAAACTTAAATGTCTTAAGTTCACCTCGAATGGCTTCTTGATATCAATACATCTCGGGTCAATTCTGGTGCCGAGGCCGCAGTTTGCTCTTGCTGAGTCTGCTGTTTCTTTGTTGTGGTGAGAGCGCGCATGTACAGTAAGAGCTGCACCGAGGCTAATGATGGCCTGTGGGTCCATTATGGGATGGATGAATTGAATGCAGAGTGTGCAAAAACCCCTAAAAACTATTGAATGGATCTCATTCGACAGTTTTAATCTGTGTGAAATTGCTCAAAGTTTTACATTTAGGCCATGATAGCTTTCATCTGACCCTGTATTTTATAAAAAATGAAAATCTAGCTACAGTAGCACCGTCATGTGCTTTCTCTTCAGACCGTCTCTGTGCGTCTCAGACAGGTTTTTATTTTTGTACGATTTAGCACCAGATCCTCGTCCCTTTAGCACCACGGTGGCGCCGAGAAGGCTGCTCTCTCTGAAGTAGGCCACGACTCAGAGGGAAGACAACTTATCTCCCGACAGTGTACATGATACTACAGGCGGCGGGCCAGGGTGTGAGAAACATCTTCAGGAGTAATGAGATGATCTTTGACCTGCGGGGACAGAGGCTCTGAGTTACAGCTGACAGCGCCTCAGTGACCTCTGTTAGTAAAAGGCCCGTTTACACATAAGCTATGGAAAATCTCCTCTAAATAACGAAAAGGTTCAAGCGTAGGTGAAGGAGGTTACATTATCGGCTCCAATAGTGTGTTTGCTTGTCTGTTGGTCAGCAGGATAAGACATTTCATCTTTTGTAAAGTTACAATGTGTAATATAATGCATTGTGCTGTATGTGTCAAATAAATAAGGTTTTCCAGATAATCATTGATGCAGGGATTATGGATACTCATCACACCGTCTCACTTTGACAGCAGTTTTGTCGATAGTTTAGCTAAGGTTTGGAAAATTGAAACAAATGGAACACCTTGAATAAACTCAGTTCTGATGTTATCTCAACCTGAGCTCACTCCTAATATAGCCCGCTAACTCCTGGCAAAACAACACGGAACAATCACCAATACAATCTCAGGGTCCATGCAACACTGCGTCCACTGCGGTCCATTAAAGGGTAACATTCGTCCACATAGTCAGTAAACAGGTGCAGATGACGGCAGATAAAAGCAGGATAATAAAGTTACTTTCAGGGTTTCACAGTCAAATTATAATTTGAAGATATATAATTG